TACTTTCAGTTTCGTTCTTCAGCTCTATAAATGCAACAGGAAAACTATGAAACTGTCCACGAGTCCTTAATTTACACTGACCCGAAAATATCCTTGACCAGTATAAGAGATACTGTATAATAAATATGTTTGCGCATATGCAAATATAATCAAAGTGTCTGCATATAGCTTATCTCGAATAAGTAAATGACGCTCTGAAGCATTAAATTAGACAGGTTTTATTACTTTGTTTGTTGTTGGGTGAGGCTTCACATCCGTTATCAACATAATATTTTTCGGTTTCAATGCAATTTATAAGAATATATATAATTAATTTCGATCTATGCCTACACCATTCTTTAACATACAACCAAACTAAACTTAGAACATATAAGATGAGATAATTTATTTTTAGCAAATAGCATATCACCGAAATGCAATCATTAAATTTGACCCTAAGTAATGCAAACAATAGAAGTTCAAAGAAAATTTCGGTTAAAAGCTGTGGTCATGCTCTCTGAAATCAACAGTCTTTAGGCATTGGAGCTATATCTAATCCGGAGCAGTTGTCGCAGAAGTTAACTATCGTTCTTTTGGCCCTCGTTGCCTAGTAGCCGCCGCTAGCTCTCCGACCAACAGGGTTACCACCGCCGATCATGTTTTCTTGGAGAAACAGAAGTTCTCTTCGAAATCGTTTACGCGTGGAGGATCCACTGATGTTCGAGGAGTACATTAAGATGGGTCACACTTTGGTCTACGACAAGGCACTTTACACCGTAAGTTTCAATGAATTGTTGTTACAGGAATATGGTGAGTCATATGATCCCCAATATGAAACAATATTAATACACCTTGGGTTTCTAGCACTTTGATCAATATATGAGATGTTTCACGAGTCCTATAAATGGGCGCACTCTTCTTCAGAGGTGAATTTTGGTGCACTGTTAAGACTCACCACAAACAAGCTTACGGTTATTCAACTTCTACTACGCCAGATTGGGAAACGTTCAAGCCAACGTCGCATGGGCTCGATCCATGTCAACGAAGGCATGTTCGTCTATGCTGACTTTGGCTGTCATCCATCGCGATGATTTCAAGGGTTGATGTTGCCATCCATCTACGAAATCTTCCCACAATATTTCCTCAACAGCAAATTGATTTATCAAGGAGAAATTCGATTACAACACCTGGAGCAAATACACAATACGAAAGGAATTGAACGATGCCACCACAAGAACCACCAATATTACAACCAGGGCTATTTCTGTCAATGATTTCAAAACATACCAATGGTGGAGACTTATGGGTTTGGATGAACAGGCGCTCTGAGAGGGAGGCTTCCTCTTCGTGAAAACTCTTACGAATTTGTTTTGACGATATATGTTCTATTCATGAAGAATATCAATATGTTCTGGCATCCGTTGATATACGTGATATTGATCTATAACGAACACTCTGTATTGTCATATTCATGAGGATTTGTTGGAACTTACAGGCTACTAAATGGATTATGCTTCTTGGATGGAAACTTTCGGTGAATAAGGATCGTCGTGGTGAGTTTTGATACAATGTGAGAACCGAACCCTTATTTGGAACGTTTGTCTCATGGTTTCGGTGAAATTGACGATTTCCGGGATCACGCTTACGAATATGGTTATGATCTGAATGATTTCTATAACGGTGTTGGATTCAGCACTCGCAGCAACTACTTCGAACGTAGATCTTAGGCAAATACGACAGTTGAACCAAACAAAGCGCCTTCAAGCGTATCTATAATCATAGACTATGGTCTACCACCGCTGATGGACACAAGATCGATATGCGCAAACCCGAATCTATTGAGCCTATCGGAAGTTACATGCAATCGAATATTGATACTTTCGATAGATTCTTCTTCAGTATTGGAATATGAGTCATATGTATCTCGCTGATGTGGACTACAACGATTTTGAGATATATCCAAATGTTTTCCTCAACTTCGAAACTATGATGCGTGATCCAATGTGGTGCTTCTACAAGAAAAGTTGCCGATGTTCTTACCGTTCAATTATCATTTCACACCATACACACAAGAAGAACTGGTTGCTCAGAGTTCAAGCCGGGATGTGCGTTAGTGAATGGTCATATTTCGATTTGTTGATATTGATGTTACTAACTTGTTGAACGACAAAATGGTCTTCGATGATGGTAAATTCGTGTGGGACAAATCTTGTACGCCCGTCAAATGCGTCTCAATCACAAACCATTCCACTACGATTCACCGAATCTGATAAGGCACAAAGGTTGTCCTTCGCACCTTTACGGACCAATTTGACGAATATGGACGTATTATCTCGCCAAAGGATAATCGCATGAACTTCATTGAATTGGATGAATTCGTCTATGAACTAACGCTGGTGTAAATGTCATCAAACGTTCATCTGAAGACTTTACTGATCACATGATCGCACCACCTACACTGAATTGTATCACTATCTGATGGCTGCTTTCGATGGCAAATACGAATATCCTCTGGAAATTAGTGAACAACAGAGAGGATTCCCAGATCGTCTACTCTTACCTAAGGGTTGGGAGAGTGGTTTGCCAGTACAGTTCGTATTTTTCATCACACCATACGATGGCTCTGTCGAACACCCCGCGAACATTGATATTAACCAACTTTCTGGCATAGTGTCCGGACAACGTTACGTTGATAACAAACCATTCGGCTATCCATTCGATCGTCCAATCGATTTATCTCAATTCTTCGTGCCCAACATTTACTTCAAGGATGTGAGCATCTACCACAATGATACACTGAAGCAATACTACGAAAACTACAAGAACTACGGTCAATTCGACTACAACTTCTACAACGAATACTACACCAAATACTTCAATTAGAACGAGCGATCGATTGAGCGGATCTTGAACATAACCAGTATATAAAATTGGATATTTTTAAGGAAATAATGAAAATCTTGTCAATCAAATGCACTGTGATGTGGTTCTAGTACTTACTTAGTAATTGAACATCAAGTGTTAGTTTAGTTTCTTAGTGTTTTTCAAGCAACATGAAAATAAAAAAAATGCAACTTATTGCTAAAGCAATTTAAAACTTATAGAAATTTTTAAGTTTTCGCTTCAGTTATGGTAGTTAAGGTTATGGTAGCACCTTATGCAAATTTTGTTTCTTCGGTTTTGGCTCATTTTTGGCGCACTATTCATTCAATATTTGTACAGTTTCGATGCCATATTTATAAATCGATATTTGGTAATGATGTGGGAATGAATATAGGGTCTTCAGCTACATTGTCAAGCATATCTCTTGCGACTACTACACGACGTCATTTTTGCAAATGATTCAGGTCTTTTGGTACGAGTCTAGCGCTGACAAGCTTCATACCCAAAACATTAACCAAAATAGTTGAGTCGATGCATAAGAGGCGTTGAGATCCTCTGTTAGCTCTCTGATGCCAACACGACGATGTTCAAGTACTGTTTCTTTAACTTTTGAATCGTCATTAAAAGAGGTGGATGGACGACTCGCATGAGCCAAGTTTTCGGTGACTTCATGACTTTCACTGAACGCCTTGAGCCACTCAAATAGTTGTGTTCATGATAACTCTCATTCGTGATAGACTCTCCAAAAGACTTCTGCAATATTTTCAACCATTCCGTAATCATGATTTCATTGGAAACCCAAATTATCAAGCAAATTCGTTGTTGAGACAAACTTTTCGCAACAAACACTAGTTGACATATGTAGATCAAATTGCGCAGGAACATAAAAAGGTGGTAGCAGTTTAGGAAAAATATATATACAGTCCGAGTCAAATTTGATCAGATGGTAAATGCGAAAACTCAAACCTACAGACCAAAATAGTTGCTTAAGCGAGTGAAGGTATAGAACGACTAATCTCATTTTCTTTGTATGCGGCTAAAGAAAAAGATAAAGTGATCTACTTAACTTTTGGAATAAAATCGCTAGATGTAAAGCTTGGTTTAAATATGTTTCTTGGCACTTGAGAATTTTAGGAAAAGAGAAAGCACAGCTGTTAATTAACAGTTTACAGCAACATTTGAAAGACGCAACGATAAAGGAGCAGAGCTCGCTTGATTTTTTGAGTATTAAAAATAATAAAGTATCAATTGTTTTAAAATTGCAGGGATATATTTATATATATTTAAAATTTTTGAAAAATTATATTAAATATTTTTCGAGTTTCACGCGATCTCCGATGGTGCTAAAATTTCACTACTGCAGTGATTTCGGCCTACTCCGTGGATAAAACCTAAAAAAATTCTCTATCAGAAGATATTGTCCATAGAATCATCTACGCTCGAAAATATTAAAGATTGATAAATTGGCGGCGTTTTGAAAAAAAAAAAGTTGAATTTTACACAAAATTTTGTTCGTTTTTGGTTTGCTAAAATTCGAATTTTGATCAGATCAAAAAACGGGTAGCTCGTTGTATAGAGAACTGTATACAGAACATTCAGAAAAATTGGATACTGATTGGATCATTTGTCTACGAATAATCATTGCAGCAAATTCGAAAAATGCTGTTTCGAGGAGAACGCGTTAACTCAAAAACTATTTGAGATATCGCTTTAAAATTTGAGTATGGCTTTTTTGAAGCTATAGACTATCGAAATATGCAAAAAAAAAAACATATTTAATAAAAAAAATATTTTCAAAATTTCACAGCAGGCGTGTTCCTTAAAAAAGCATTGAACGTTGCGCTGACGTATTGTTGTTGTAATTTTATTTTTGACAGTGAAGCCTTCGCATTCGCAAATCGCTTGTATAACTTGAACAGTTATTTTCGATTTATTTTTGAATTATTTAATATGAAGTTATATAATATTTTTGAGGCAAATTTGGATTTTTAGATTTTCATATTTTCATATTTTTTGTCATATTGGTTGATTTTTATACAGTAGGGAAACAGGAGCCGCAAGTGCTAACCTAACCTCAAAAATTTAACTTGAATACGCGAAATATGAAAATAAATTGAAATAATAATAACACGCTTACCTTATGCTTTTTGTATGGTAGTAATAGTAGTAAAAATTGAAATGAGTGTGTGTATTTGAAAGGCTCCACACACGGCATATGATAATCTTAATGATGACCTTAATTCATAGATATTTACTTGCTTACTTAGAACACTTATACTGGCTTACTTGGAACACTTATGTATGTATGTATGTGTGTAGGTATGTATATATTTATTTGACTAACAATTTGATTGTGAAAAGAATTGCGTTATTGATTTCGCATTTTTAACACTCGCAGGACTTAAATGCAAGCTATTATTATTACTAAGTGCATTTGGCTTTTTCGCCACCGACACAGTGCGCACTTCCAACATGTTGAGTTGACGTTGCAAAGCTTTGGCAACATGAAAATCTTTATGCGCTTGCAGCTCACTTGTGGCTATGGACACGTGACACTCTTCACAAACCACTGCATCCTGCAGAGAGGCATCTAGAAGATCTATTACCACAACAGCAGGCGCTGACTCGACAACAACTGAAGTTGCATTTGCGGCAGTTGTTGTTGTACTAGCAATATTGGGTTTTAGAAATTTGGTTATGCTGTTGTTGGCGGCTTTTGTTGCTTGCACTGGTGACTTTTTGGATTTTTTGTTGTTAACCGCTGTAATTGCTGTGGACTTTTGAGCATTGAGTTTAGTTTTGACCGCCGTGCGATATTCGTCACGTATTTGTTGGCTAAGCTGCATGGCCAAGTGGTGGTCCTGATGCAATTGCATGGAACGTGCATCGCCTGGTATATTAGCTTTGCAAGTAGCACATTTTGTCATCTGTATGAATTCTGGACGCAATTCAGGCACCGCAAATTCAGCATAACTTGCTTCATAAGTTGGTGAAGGCGTACGCGTCACCGTTACTGGTAACTCATGTTTTAGTGATTTAGGAGTTGGCGAGGTGTTGTCGAGCAAAACGGTATATTTGCGTTTATTTGTTGTTGCATTGTTATTGTAAGTGGTTTCTGTTGTCGCTAATGCATTGGTTATGGCCGTTGCCTCGTGAATTGGTTGTTCTGGTTCAAGCGATGAATCTATTACATTGGTTGTTGTTGTTGTTGTTGTAGTAACGGTTTCTATTATACTGTTGCTTTGGCAGGTTGCCTTATAGTTTGCGATGTTTGCGCGTTGATTCGTGTTTTCTTGTGCTACTTTTGTCATATTATTTGCTTGTATATCCGACTTTTTCAAGAACTTTGCGAAGAAACTTTTGGAAATATCAGCTTCTGGCTCTTCTACATTATTATTGATGCGCATATTGTTTTCAGCTGCAACAATAGCGGTAGTTGACGTGCATGTATTCTCCTTAGATTTCTGCTGCTTTAAAGCATTAAGAAAGAAGCTGCGTACTTCTGTTGGCTTTGAGTTATTTTCAGTAATACTTGTTAAATTTACAGCAGTTTGCTCTGCATCGCTTACTGTTGAATTTCTATCCACTTCACTTGTACTGTTATTAGCTTTTGAAATAGTTGAGTTATTTGTTTTAGCGTCACGTTGCAAGAAATTTTGCATAAATGTTGGTTTTTGTGCAGCAGGTTCTACGTTAACTTGTGTGTTCTTATCGGTGATTGCATTAGCTTGTGTCGACGCATGGTCCGCTTCGTTTTTCTTCTTAGTTGCCATATTGGCAAACATTTCCTGCAATTTATTTTGTCCACTTTGTATTGTTTCAAACTTGCCCACACTAATACCCAAAAATTTAATGGGATTGTTTAAAGCTAGCGTGCTGCCGGTTTTGAAAAACTGTTTCGTATGTGTCTGCAGCACTTCCAAGCTGCTTTTGGTTAATGTCTCCTGCTCGTAACCCTTAAGCGGCACTGAACGTGAGCTAGATATCTCTTCGCCATCGAATTCTTGCACAAAGCTGAGCACCATTTGCTTGGCACGCCGGTTATTCTCCAGCATATCTTTTTCCATGCGTTCGCAAATTTCGTTAGCCAACTCGCCCAGCCAATGACGCAGTGTATTTAGACCAGTTATATTATTGCGTCCGGGAAATTTCTTGCAACAACCGATACTTTTGGAATAAAAACGCGGCGTTACCGCTTCCAAATCAATGCCGCGGCAAATATTATATAACCAAGTGCTAGTAAACAGTTGAATATAATGAAATTATTAATATTTTTCTAACTATGCTACGCTTTGTATAACTCACCCATTTTTCTCATCGAATTTCCGTTGCAACTCTTGCTCAGAAAATGGCAATAGCTCTGCTAGAAAGCGTATATTCAAACTTGTGCATATGTTTTCGCCAAATTTTCCACCTAATCCTTGTATTTTGGTAAGTGGTAATGTTTCGAATAACTGGGGTATCTGTGCCAACGGCAAGATGGTCTGCTTATTCGGCTTATTAATGCCGCAAGCCAATTTTGCAAGAATTTTATTGTGCGCAATTCCAGCGGAACATTCATAGTCTGTTTCGGCTTTAACAGCAGCACGCACTTCACTTGCCACCGCTGCGCCTATGAGCAAGCGAATATCACTTTGACGTACAATCGCCATATCGGCATCATCATGTGCTTGTGCATAGCAACCATAATCGGCATCTAAATCATCCGCATTAGGCTCATTAAAACGTTTTGTGATTACATTTAAATAATCACCAATGCCAGCATAGCCTACAGCATAGGTATTTATAAGCGCTTGCGGTTGGAGCATAAATGAACCCTTCGAAAAATGGCGAAAAACTACATTATTCATTCAGTAACGATTAAAATTATTTGCATAATTAAGTATATTTACCGCATTCATGTCACCTAAGCGTTTATTAACCTCTTCCGTTATATCTAAGTAAGCCTCATCGACCGAAGCGCGCCCCAACAATGGTGTAAAACGTTGTAGCACATTCGCCACTTCTTTGCCTGCCTCACGATACTTGCCCAAATCGGCTTTTTCCCGTATATTTGGCACTTTAACCAATTGTATTTCCGGGCAACGTTCCTTCGCCTCATCACCGCGCATATGGCGCGTTACACCTTTGGCACGCGCAGCGTAGTTAACAGCAATTATGCTTGATATAAATATAAAATAAAATAAAATTATATTTGATAAATTATTTATATGGGATATTGTTGTAGCTTACCCGCCACCACGCCATGCATTATACTGCACTACGGCCAGCGGCTGTCCTTTAAGCTGCGGATTAAGTTTCTCCTCCACTTGACAAAAGAAACAATCCATGTCCACTAGCACAACTACACGATTATACTTTTGCTGCATCGGCACACAACTGCGTGTAGACATTTTTGCAACGGCATAAATATATTTTTTCAAACAAATTTATATTTTGCACACTAAAAATTAAGGCACGAAATTTCATCACAAACAAATTAGTTGAGATTGCGCGCCAAACCTGTTATTTACAAACGTCAGCTGATATAAATCAAGTACAGTAAGCTCCATATTAATGTTACCATTTCATTGTGCTAAATTGTAGTTTTTTTTTAAATATAGTTTTTTGAGCATTTTTTGACAGTAAATATCTTTTATTTATTGTAGAAATTTATAATGTTGCAATTTGACTCTTTGCACCATAATGTATTTCAATAAAATCCATAATTCACTTGCTGAGAACTTGAGTTGCCAACCATGACATTTGTGCATGCGAACAGTGAAGTCGTATGTATGGAGACATTATTGCTATTCCTAGGTTATGTTGGATATATTAAAATATATTTATATTAATACTATAATGCTATATTTATATATATCTTATAATATTTTTTACTTACCAATCTTCACAGGGCAAAATCCTCGTAATACAGCAATTGGCCGGGTAAAATTCAGCTCAATTCCGATAACATGGAACGGTCTGCTATGGTTATTGGATTATTTACTTACCGATCCAAACAGGATTTGATTTGGATTTAGATTTTAAAACCTTCTTTAAACTTACCTTAGAAAGTACACCAGTGTCCAAATGGATTTAGCCAAGCCAAATATCGGACTATTATAGCATATTACTGCCATACACACAGACCCATAAAAATCCAGTCCTTGTGGGAGAAACTGTTCTATTTTACAAGATATCTTCCCGAAATTCAGTATATATTATTGTAAGGCAATGTTACATTCTCTGAACCATTTTAAATCGGAAATCTATAGCATATAGCTGTCTTACCAACTCAACGATCAAAATTAAGTTCCTGTAGGAAAAACTTTTTTATTTGACGAGATATGTTCACGAAATTTAGCATTGATTATTCTCCGAAACAATGCTATAATCTGCGTACAAATTGTTGAGATCGGACAACTATAACTAATATGTAACTACCATTTGAACTGACTAACAAACGCATAGGATCACAAATCTGTGGAACAACTAATAAATTACCGTTCAGTTGGTATTGCCATCACCCATTATTCTAAATATTTACAGTTACAGAGTGAAGCTCAGCACATTTAACCTAAAAGGTAAACATTTTCTATATAAATTAAATACAAAATATTTAAAACATATGAAATAACTCATTGATCACGATCAACAATGTTTTGTCCAATTATTTATTAATATATTCGTTAATTTCGTCACAGTAGAACGCGATTTCAAGTTACAGCTTTTACCAACGTTCTTTACGGTTTTATGATCATACTATATTATAATAAATTCTTAATTTAGCTGTCAACATTTGATTTCCAGCAAAGAACAATGTTTTCATTAAGTTTACAAACACATGCGTGCATACATACACATGGACATGTGGTGCATGCTTACACAAATACGCACACGTACATACAATATATATATTTATATTACTTGTATTTTTAATGCATTAATTCATTGAGAAATGCAGTTTAACTAAAATTAAAATAAAGTTACGATTAAAAAATATATATTTTTTCGAAAGGAAAATTTATACGGTTTAACAACAAATTTTATATTAAAATTAGCTGGTAATAAGCTGACTACTCCGATATAATTATGTATATTTTTGGTTCTCAACGCTTGCGTTTTTATAGTTTTTATTTAGCTGCTTTTTAGTTTTTTAATTATTTTTATTTTTTTTTTTGCTTTTATAGTTTTTTAATTATTAATATTATTACTAGTTTTTTACATGTATTTAGGTGCTTACTACTATGAGTGAGAGCTGTCAGCTTCAGGTTCGATTTTATATTTTTATATTCAAGACAACAAATAAAGTTAATTAATGCGAGCTTAAGTGTACTGTACCCAATGCAGTTGCAAATTAGAAAATTCACTTAACGGTCTCAAAATATATATCATATTAGCACAACAATTTGTAGTGCTTTTTAAAGCATTAGTAAAAGATTTAAAGATATTTTCGTGTTTGAACTGCTAATGGATACTGGTGCTAGGCTTACATAATTATTAAATGAAAAAAATTTCTTATTTTTTATTTTTATTTGCAATTAGAAGGCAGCTAAAATTTTTATACCGTTATTTTCATACAACTTTTTAAAAACGAGTTCAATCTTTCAATCTTTTTTTTTTCACGCAACTTTTTAACTTTCGTTACATTGCATTTTTATTCGTTTACAAAAAAAATTGGTTTGCATGTCCCGTGCACCGCACAAGCAATTGCTTTATTTTTTTAGTTTACTTGTTTCAGCAATGTGTTACAGCGCACGGGACAAATAGCTGTTCCAAACAGCTTTGTGGAAATGTTTGTTTATCAATTTTACAAAGTGAAATTTGGCTAAGCGCAACATGACGACCTCTCGCACAATTTCACAATCCACATTTTCATCACAGGCAAGCGGCAAACAATGAATTTCATTTGTTCTAATGTAAATGGAATTCATGCGCAATAGTTTTTTTTTTGTTTTTGTGTTTAATTTATATATATATAATTTTTGTTATAATTAGTTTTAATTAGGTTATTCGATTTTTTGTTTATGTTTGTAGTTTTCAATATATATACTCTGCTTATGAATTTAATTTAAGCTTAAAAGCCTTAAAATGTACCGTAGCAACGCGCAAAATGTTTAAGGCGTGGCCACGGCTTTAATGACACTCCTCTGTATGCAATCAAACAACGGAATCTTTGCGTATCCTAGAAGGGCAATAATAAATTATGTTAATTTTTGCATAATTTCAAGCAAATATATATGCAAACAAAAAATTACCACATATAGTTTTCAGTCTGTGGTGCTCTCATCACACCAACGCCACCACCTAAACGACGGTAATTCATACAACCACATAAACGCCATTGATTGGTTTCTGGATCGTAAACTTCAATTGTTTTTAAGTAGGCCGAGCCATCAAAGCCGCCAACGGCATATAGCTGCCCATTCACTACGGCCAAGCCAACCTGATAAAAGCAAATATATTAAATTTATATAAGTGTATACATATTTATAACCTAAATAGGGTATATTAAATCACGACAGTCGGGAGCCATATAAAGTTATATCCATATTTTTATACGCGAACTAGTCCCTCAGTTTTTTAGATAATAAGCTGGAATTTCGCACCTGTCTTTCTCTTCCCAAGCAGCTGCTCATTTGTTGGAGCCGCCAATATCGGTTTACTATAGCATATAGCTGCTATACAAACTGACCAATCAATATAAAGTCTTGTATGAAAAACTTTTCAAATTGATGAGATATCTGCACGAAATTTCGCACAGATTATTGTTCAAGGCATTACTACAATCTCCGAAGATATTATATAGATCGCACCACTACAGTATATAGCGGTCATACAAACTGATCGCTTCAATTTTAAGTGTTTGTATGGAAAACTGTTTTATTTGACGAGATATCTGCATGAAATTTGGCATGGATTATTGTCTAAGGCAACGGCACAATCTCAAAAGAAATTTGTCGGATCAAACTACTATAGCTATCATTCATACAATTGTTGCTATAAGAAATGCATCTGTGAAGGGTATTGTAGCTTCGATGTAGATTAAGTTTAGGGAGTTTCTTGTTATAAATTGTCTTAGTTGTTGTTGTTGTATCATGTAATTAAGTTTGGGGAAATAACTAAGACCAATTGGCTTCTAAATCATTTAGCGGTAGGCCTAGGAAACGTGCTGTTCCGACGGGTTTGACCATAGGAAGAAGGGTGTTAGATGCGTGAGGTTCGTTGAGCATGTAAAGAGGTGGTTAGTGTCATGCGAAGACTCGTTGCATGCTGGACATATATTTGGTATGTCGTGGTCGATTCTGGATAAATAGGAGTTTAATCTGCTACAGTACCCTGAACGAAGTTGCGTAAGGGTTACTCTAGATTCTCGTGGCAACTCGAGCTCTTCGTATGTAACTGGCTGCTTCGATGGGGCCGGACCAAAGGGAGTGGGTTTTGTTAAGTAAGTAGGTTTAGCGGGGCATGCAAAGAGGTGGTTAGTGTCATGCGGCAACTCTTGTCACGCATTACATAACTTTACTGAATCGGGGTCTATTCTGGATAAGTAAGAATTTATTCTGCTACAGTATTCAGAACGAAGTTGCGTTAAGATCACTCTAGTTTCACGCGGCAGCTCGAGCTCTACGATGGTCATATCCAAGGGCATACTACTTTGTCGCGACATATATTGTTTTAGTTAGATAACTGCACTTACACCGCTGCGACGCGAAGTCATTGCCACGATGGGGCTCCAGGTATTTGTATGCGGGTTATAACGTTCAGCTGATGATAATTCCATGCAATCATCACGTCCACCGACAGCGTATATGTAGTTATTGAAGACTGCGCAGCCTAAATGCTTGCGACGTGTGGACATTGGATTAACAGCGCACCACTTATTTTGTCTAAATAAAAAAAAAATATATAAAAATTTTATTATATGAGTAATATTTTGTATACTGAATTGTTTATGACTCACCTTGGATCATAGCGCTCGACCGTGTTTAATGGACATTGACCGTCAGAGCCGCCAATGGCGTAGAGATAACCACCCAAAACGGCTACGGCTACCCCTAAACGACGGGTTGTCATTGGTGCGACCTTGTATTGCAAAAATAAATAAATTAATATATATACATATAAATTTAAAGCATTACACACGCACCTTTGACCATTTGTTTTCCTTAGGATCGTAGCGCTCAACATGATTCAGACACTGTACGCCATCCTGCCCGCCAACAGCATACAGAAATCCGTCCAAGACGGCCACGCCAACACTAGTGCGACAGGAGGTGGTTGGCGCGACATCACAAGACCATTGATTTGTTTGCGGATCATAACGTTCGATGCTATTCAAATAGCTTTGTCCATCATGACCGCCAACGGCATAGAGTAGATCATTGAGTACAGCAACACCGACGCCACAACGACGTTTACTCATCGGTGCAACCATTTTCCAATCATTCGTTTGCGGATCAAAACGTTCGACGGAGGCAATGGCGTCCCCTGAACACCAGCCACCGACAGCAAACAATACTTCACCACGACGTGTTGGTTTACGTGGACGTGTGCGTGGACCTTGCATTAGTGGACGTTCTTGTGGTAACAGCAAATAGTTCTTAGCTTCATCAACGAGATCACGACATGCTTCATCGGAACGCACTAACAAATCAGAGCCAACAGTACCAACGAGGAATTTCGGTGACAATAGCGGTAAACGTACATGTTGCAAAACCTGAATATAATTTTTATCAATAATTAATTTGCATTAAATAAAAAAGTATACAATAAGAGTTAACCTGTGCCAAATGTTGTCGACGATCGGCCACATTGTATTTCAGCCAAGACATAACAGCATTGAAAACCTGCTCTTCAGAGCGCACATTCAACTCATCGCTGCATATAATATCCACAAGTTGTCCGACGGGTAGCAATAGAAACTCCTCACTTTCCATAACATCTTGGAAGTTGTGTTGTGTAAATTTGTCGGCAATGCGTAACAATTCTCGACACGAGTGTGTATCGGCAAAAGCGCGTATGCCCAAACAATTTGTCGGATCTAATTGTCGCTTTAGAAATTCGCAGCAAATATCCTGTATTTCGACCAACTGTAGTAGGCATGCTGCTGGTAGCAAAGTCTGCACATTGGACTCCTCGACAATGATGTGTGCAGTGTAGCAAAAGTCGATAAGTAACTCCATGGCATTTTCATCTATATCTCGTATGGTTACTTCTGTTTGACGTGATTCTTCCAATTCACCAGTGAACATGGCGCGAAAATATGGACTGCAGGCGGAAAGTATAACGCGATGTGCGAATATTTTACGACCACCAACATTGAGTACAACATCACAAAGTTCCCGATGGCGTCGCAGCATGTTCAACTCCGATAATGTAACCTTGGGGTGTTTCTCCGAGGTGTGCGATAGACGTGCCGGAGACGGTGGACGATCGATGGCACCAGTTGAAGTGCCAGCGCTGCCAGCCGCTCCTGCCAGCATTGGATCGCCCATCCTGTTCGCCGCTAAACGCAGCGGGGCAGAAGCCCAACCCCACACCGCGTCTATCTGTAAACGATATTGAATTACAAATTATTCATTACTTATAAACTTATGTGTATTAAAAAAATTGCTAACATATTTCTACTCACGAGAATTTATGCAAAAGCCCATTTTATTTTTATATGACACCAGCAACATTTAAAACATTTTTATACGTCTCAACTTCAAAAATATCACAAAAACACGTTGGTGTGAAGAACTAAAACAAAGAAATCTATTTTCGCCCACCAATTCAATTTCAATGTTTATGCCCACAACAGCTGTCACGGCTTCGCCCTACCACACACCAGACCATAAATCAACAATTGAAGTATCTATGCCATTACCATAGTTTGACGAAAACTTTTGCCTACTTTTTCTGAGCTAATTAACAATTGCTACCTAACTGAAATGCATATGTATAACATTTGTTGTATTTACTTACCTTAGCGTTTTTGTCTACGGCAAGCCCAAAACACCACGACCAACTCCAAGTGGCAATTCTCGAAAAGGCAATTTTCGCTGTTATCTCAGTATCTCTGTTGCATTGAAAATTCTAATATGTAAAATTTTAGAAACGCGACATATATAAAATATACGCCGACTTTTAGTTTTTCGCACACTACTTTTGCCCTCGGTCAAATAATCGACCGACCTTCCTTCCAAAATGCTCGTCTGCGTGATTGCTGCCGCCCTAAGCTGGTGCCACACCGTTCTGCTGCTGCTGCTGCTATTTTTGTTTCGTTTTGTCTTGACTTTCGTACGTTTTTGCAAGGCAAAATTTTCCAAACGTCACTATAGCATACTAACTTGCGAAAAAATTCGCTTAATAATGTATTTTCATTATAATTGAATTCATCTTTACGTTGATTATATAAAAATGTTAGTTTTCTCACTTATTTTCACAATAAATTGCGAAAATCTTAACTTTTTCTCGATTCACCTCACTGCACAACACCAACACACATCCGACTTGTAATGCTGCCAACTGCGGATATGTTTGACCAAAAATATGTTTTGAAAACAATTATTAATTGATTATGAATTATAGCTTTATTATTTTTATAAAATATATTTTTTTAAATTCTAAAAAAAAATAAAACTTGCTTTATACACTATTATCTGAGTTATTAGTTTTACTGATAATTATCAAATATGGCAGTTCTATTTTACATTCTCTGGTAAGCGCAAAGATAACAAAATAATACAGGGTCGACCAAGTGATATTAAAATTGTTCATGTCAACAAATAAATAAATACTATGGTTTTCACGCATTATATTATTTAAAATGTTTTGAAATCATTTATAAATACTGCATATAATTATGTAAACTTATTATTATGCCTTCCCTACTAAGTCTGAATTCACAACTTGAATATCAACACTTATATTTGGCAACGCGATTGGATGACATTTAACGGCTCCAGACGGTCGACGAGAGTTGAGGAAATAAAATCTCCTATTACAGTATATTTATGCGAGTAGTGAAAAAAGTGATAAATTATTAAATTCCAGCTAGTTTAATTATATACTTATATACTTTATATTGTTGACTAGTGAAAGTATAATTTAATAGTTTTGAAATAATGCAAAGTGTTTTAAACACTGTGAAAGGGACAGCCCTAAATGTGGCAGAGTATCTTACTCCAGTTTTAAAGGTGTGAGGATTGGCTGAACTCTTAATCCCATATTAAAATTAAACAACACTAAAAATTTCCAGGAATCTAAATTTCGAGAGACAGGTGTTTTGACGCCGGAAGAATTCGTAGCCGCTGGAGATCACTTGGTGCATCACTGCCCAACTTGGCAATGGGCTGCAGGCGATGAATCGAAAACAAAAACATATTTACCTAAAGGTTTGGTTTATATAAATAGTGAATCGGGCAGTGGTTGAAATATTATATACTATTTTGTAGATAAACAATTTTTGATTACTCGAAATGTAGCCTGCTATAGGCGTTGTAGACAAATGGAATATGTGGGTGAGGAGACTGTGGTTGAAGAGGAAGGTGGTGACGGTGGCTGGGTCGAAACACACCAACTAAACGAAGACGGCACAGCAGAGTTGGAAGAAAAAGTGTGTGAATTGACACTTGATGAAAATAAGGTATGTATATGTGAGTTTTGATTACATACACGTTATTAACAAGCTTTTTTATAATTTTAGGATGAAATGCGTACACCAGATGAAGATAAAGGTGCAAATGGCGTTGCTATGTGTGATAACGATAGCGATGACGAAGAAGATGACGAAGCGATTGATATGGATGAATTTGAGGAAAGTGGTATGCTGCAATTAGTCGATCCTGCAGTAGCCACTACAACACGTAAATTAGATGCGGAATCTGGAATAAAAAAATCAAGTTCTAATGAAGCTGCTGGAGGTGCTGACGCTACCGACTCAGTGTTGCATACACGCACCTATGACTTACATATTACTTATGATAAATATTATCAAACACCACGGCTTTGGGTTGTCGGTTATGATGAGGTAAGTTAATATTTTTTTATTACAAATTTATCTTAAATAAGATAATTAAATTTTTATTTTTGCTCTTTACACAGAATCGAAAACCTTTAACTGTTGAACAAATGTACGAGGATGTTTCACAGGATCATGCTAAGAAGACTGTAACAATGGAAAGCCATCCGCATTTGCCAGGACCAAATATGGCTAGCGTACATCCTTGCCGCCACGCTGATATTATGAAAAAGATTATACAAACAGTTGAAGAGGGTGGCGGTGAGCTGGGCGTACATATGTATTTGATTATTTTCTTGAAATTCGTGCAAACTGTTATACCGACCATCGAATACGATTTTACACAAAACTTTAATATGTCTTAAACCATTTACTTATAGTGCTGAAATAAGGCTTTTGATCACTACATAGGCAATTTTAAATGTTAATTATAAGGTTAAAACTTGAAAAGCTGCTAAAATTGCTTATGCCTTTAGAAATAAAATATTTTGTATATGATTTATTACCACTTTAAAATATATGTTTATTTTTGCAAAAAAATCCGTAATCCATATAATTAAAAAAATATATCTAGGATTATAAGAACTATTGCTTTAATTTCGAAATGCACGAGAAATTGCAAAAACAATAATGACTTTTATTTTAAAGAATGGTAAAATGGGTACTTGGGCTAAAAATCATTGGCTCCTCCAACATTTCGTTAGCGGTTTGATAATTGTGAAGCTGCGAACCATTTAAAATAGGTGTTCGCTTGGCGATTGATCTGCGCGTTTGAGTGAAATCTTTTTCCAGCGAGCCACGTTATGAATATGGGTGCCAAATCTGGCGACTATGCTGGAAATAATAATAGGGTAATTGCTTCAAATTTTCTATGATATCAAAAGCGGAACTGAAGTGTTTTCTTTGTAAAAAAAAATTCGTTCGTTAAATATGGGCTCTTGACTTTGATCTCTTCCATCAGGTCATTGTTTTGCATCAATGGTAGTCTCCAAACAGAAAACAACGTATTATCCAAACTCTGAAACCTACTTTTTTTTCATTGAAAACTAAAATAGCAGGGACTGCTAACTTGAGAATAATATTCAGGTTTATTTATTAGATATCATATAATTAAAAAACAATTTTCTATATGGTTACATATTTTTTAAATTTGTAAACAAAACTCATAAAAAATAAATAAAAAACAAATAATATCAATTATAACAAAGAGCAAAGAATACTTAACTTGTTGACTCCTATCTTTATGACACACTATAATAGTTGGCAACGCTTACACTTTGACATTGCTGCAACTCGTCAATACACAATTTATATTATTGTTATATTTCGTGCCGCCAATATTATCTTATTTCAAACTTTCTTATTTAAAATTTTTTTGGTATCGAAATTATGAAAAACATGAAGAAGGCGAGTTGTCACAATCAAAGTATAAAACGATTTTTATCGCCACAGCCTTCAAACATTCCTTGTAAAAAGCAATGCAAGCAAATGGATATGACAAATAAGTGCACTACTACTCGAAGAGACAAGAACATTTGCCTCTTTTCACTTAACGCCACTAAACAATCATCTGATGAAATGGAAAAAAGACAGGATTTGAAGTAGGTATTTAGATAGAAATCAGTTTAAAATAATAAGCAAACTTCTGTTTTCAGTACTAACAATGCAGTGAATAAGTTTGATTGGAACAGTTTTGTGCGAGATCCTGGCGAAATACAAGAGAGCCGATATCCAGTAACCCTTAACACTTTCAAAACTATGACCCTTTGTTTGAGTATCGTCAATTGCATACTCGAGGATATAAAAAGTGCAACAAGTCTCGACTTTTTAAATGATGACCTGATGAAAGAGCGAGTTATAAAAAACTTTTATATTCAATTCTATGAAAACCCACAAATTCGCAATATATATAAGCTAGAAACAAAGCCATGCCCAACATTTGTAAAAAAGAAAATAATGCAGGTACCAACATTGGAAAATATTGAAGCTAAAGGTAATTTTGAAAAATAGTTAAAATTAAGATACTAAACGTGCACATTATACATTTCCAGATAGTACTACTAATGCTGCCAAAGTAGCCACTGCAAATATTGCGGACGGTGAGGATGTTAGCAAACCAACAGAATTGAGGGTACCTGTAGAACACGCTCTTAAAATCGCTGAACCTATAGAACCGTTAAACAAACCAGCAGATCTGGAACGAGTTGAAGCAAAATCAACCAAATCACAAGAATATGAAATATCGCCACAGCAGTAAGTCATATACGTCCTTTTTCTGATCTTGGTAACTAAATAGTATTCTAATGGTTTAGGGCTAAGGCAAAATCGAATATATTGTATATATCGAAAAATACATTATTTATGGATGAGACATTTTTACGCAGGCATGTGAGTCGCAATATTCAACAAGAGGAAAAACTAGAAAAAATTTTAGAGCAGATATATGCCGAGTTGCTGCCACGAAAAAAGTCTGAAGTAAAACAAAAGCTAAAACCTACAACAGTGCAGGAAATAGCAGATGAAGTCGCAATTGACATTAGCAAAAGTCCTGAAGACACTACAGCTTTAATATCAAGGGAACAGCGCTTGGAACAAGCTAAGCACTTATATTTTAAAGACTATACAAAAGTATGTTTACGTGAATATTAATATGAATTTTATGCAATTTAAGCAATTTCTATAATTTTTTATTGCAGACAAATACATTAGCATATGCTTTACGTTTTCATAACGGCTTAAAGAGGCGCATAATTTCAGCCGTTCTGGATATGTCAATCGATGAGTTCAAAAAGTATACAAAAATTCATGATGCTCCAGAACTTTATGATGATGCCAAATTACTAAACGATTGTTACAATTATGCGATCAAAGCACCTCAAATTTGGCCTGTCAATCTGCATATGCAGTTGAGTGATTTATATGAATATCTCAAATCAAGAAGTGTTACAGGTGTTAGTGTTGATAATTTGGAAGATATTTCACCGATGTTGTTGCATTGGACTGAGCTAGCTGTTATAACGAATTTTGATAAAATTATGCAATGGGATTTTTATCGTTGTAATGGTAAAAAATTTCGTCAATTCACGCATATGGATGTATTTCGTAAAAAATTTTATGAGAAATGTTGGATACATAACACTTGGTTGCAAGAAGTACCAAAGCTGCATATCGATGTGCAAAAACAGTTAGAAACGAGAATGGTAGTTGTTGAAGATGATATTGTAAAAGAAGAAGAAGAAGCTAAAAAAGATGAGTCTACAAATTTCATGAACGTAGATGGTGAGCACAGCGCAGAAGCGAACACTAATAATATAATAGCAAATGCTGCGCACGCGCAAGATGCCAGCGCTGGCCCCTTAACGGAAACTAATGAAGAATTGTTGTCACATAATCTTACCGAAGCAAGTTCGGTCGAACAAGCAGTAACTGTAAATAACGTACCAAATACTTTACCCGAAGCAACTGTAAATTTACAGACAACAACAACAGCAGTTGTGGAAATAATTACCAATTCAAATGAGAATATTGTGGCAAGCAAACGAGCAGTAGACGTACAACAGCGCATTCAAGCAGCGCAGAAATTGTACTTTTATAAAGTAGAGAAAGTAGGAGATTTGTATAAATAAAAAAAAAATTACATATTTACTACAAAAAATTTACTTTTTTCTTTCAGTCATGTACTCTACCCTATCTACTACGCCTACATAACGGTTTAAAGCGGTGTATACTACACGCCATACTAAATATGACCTACACAGAATTCAAACAATACACACACATATACGATGCAGCAGAGATTTACGAAAATAACGAGCTTTTACAGCATTGCTATGACTTTGTGGTCAAAAAGCCGCAAGTATGGCCCGTTAATCTCTATATGCGTTTGGTAGATCTTTACAAATTTCTCAAAATCAAAGGCGTTACACTTACAGCAGCCGACTTGAAGCATGTATCACCGAAACTTTTACATTGGCATGATCTGATTGCGTCAACTAATTACGATTACATACTATTTTGGGACCACTACCGGAGTCGTGGTAAAAAAATGCCTAAAAATAAGCCGCCACCAAATACATATCGTCAAAAGTTTTATGAGAAATGTTGGATTAATGACAGTTGGATATGGCATACGCCCAAAATTTGCGACAATATACTTACTGATATCTTTGGGGCAGTTGCAGCAACTGAAGATGTGGAGAATGCCAATTTTGAAAGAGCAGTTATGACACATGCGCTGGAAGAGCGGGTGACGGAAAGTGTCTCGCCGACAGAAGACGAAGCGATAAATGACGCTACAAATGGACCACCGCCTGTGCAAGCGATTGCGCATGAAAACGTAGTGCTGGCCACGAATAATACACGAAGCGTTAATACTGTTGATGCGGAGATACAAACATCACGTAAGTTTGGCTAATACGCGGCACGCTTTGGTTATATTTATTTATACCCTGAATAGCGTAGGACACAATAAAAAAAAAAATATTTATATACCATAACATAGTATATAAATAACGATTTAGCCACGTCCGTCTGTCTAACTTTATATACTTGAACTAGTCCCGCAGTTTTTGCGATATCGTTGTGAAATATAGCACAGATCCTTTTCTGCCCAAGAAGCTGCTGCTTTGTCGAAACCACCGATATCGCACAACTATAGCATATAGCTGCCATACAAACTGTACGATCGGCATCAAGTGCTTATATGGAAAACTTTTTCATTTGACGAGATATATACAAGAAGTTTGGATATGGATTATTGTCTAAGACAATGTTGTAATCTCCGAAGAAATTGTTCAGATCGGAACACTATAGCTTATAGCTGCCATACAAACTGAATAATGAAAATCAAGCGCTTATATTTAAAACTTTTCTTATTTGACAAAATATCATTTTTATTTGACAAGAAAATTTTACAGAGTTTATTGCCTAAGACTGCGCTACAATTATTCAGAACGAACTACTATAGCATATAGTTGTCATACAAACTGACTAAAAATCGAATTCTTTTATGGAATTGTTATTTTTACTTGTGAAGGGTATTATAGCTTCGGTGCAACTGAAGTTACCATTTTTTCTTGTTTATTGCTAATAATGCTATATTCTGCCAATAGAACACCTACTTGCTGCATTTACCAACTCGTTAACAGTTATGCGCGAGCCAGAAGTAACAGCACAAAATCGTAAGTCTATAAATCCTTTAATTTTTTTTTAACAATTTTTTTTTTAGCTTGCCTTATCGTTTCAGCCAACCCAGTCATATTGCCTTGCAAAGCGATTAAAAAAGAGAAGCTCTCACCACTCGATAAATTGCAATTCAATCTAACGAACGATGAGAAGAATTACGAATGTATGCCAGTGCCGGATGATGTAGTCGATCTGGAGGGTTCAATATCAGCAAACGAGTCACAAGAAGAGTTAATGCTGCCACTTTTGAATAGTGAAAGTTTGTTCACACCTGTCAACAAATTGTTTTTGTCACTTGATTCTACAGAAGATAAATTTGCACAATTGACAGAAAATGTGGACAATGAAAGCATAAGGGAACAACAACCAAGTCTCGAATTGAATAATCAGCAAACGCAATTGATGCCAGAGTGCGCATTGGAAATGGAAATTGAAGTACAGTCGACAGAAGATCTACATGAGCAAACAACAACAACAACACAGCAATCACTGACTGTTGCAGTAATAGAGAGTAACCAAGCTTCTTTTGAGCAGCCACCAATTGAAACGCAAGCAAAAACAATAAAAACACATTCTGCACAACAACCAGCGGAGACATGCTCGCTACAAGAACAACAAAAACAATCGAATATTGTCGTACAACAAGTGTTAACAAGTGAGCAAGTCAACGTTCCGGCGTTTATTTCACGCGAAGTGAAGCAAGAGCTGCTGCAACAAGTGCAACAACCTACCGGTAATTGTACTGAACAACTGAAACAAAAACAACAAACAGTGAAACAGTTAAAAAATACAGCTATAGAAGTGACAACAGCACTAACAAGAATACTTGAAGCTCATAAGTTGGCGCAACAACAAAAGCAACAACATAATAGAACAAAAAGCGCACCGGCGACAGTGGAATTGCAATCGGAACAACAGCAAAACCAAACACTAGAAACACCTGCAGCGATGGAAAAGCAACAACAACCTTCACAACAAAAACAACCTTTACAGCAACAACGATTTTCACAACAACAATTTTCACAACAACAACAGTCACAAAAGCAACAACCTTCACAACAACAACAACCAAAAACAACAATCGATCAGCAGCAAATACAGAAACATCAACAAGAACCACCAACTGTTATGATACCACTGTCAAAATCGCAACAACAACAGAAAAAACATCAACAGCAAATTGCAGTTTTAAAACCGGCGACGCAAAAGCAGCGAGTGATAAAAGCGCCACCGACAATACAACAGCAACACGAAAGCGTGACAATAGCGCCACAGCCAATACAACAACAACAAGAAAGCGTGACAATGGCGCCACAGCCAATACAACAACAACAAGAAAGCGTGACAATTGTGTCACAGTCAATACAAAAACGACAACAACAAAATACATTTACAACAATCACTGAAATATCGTCTAATCACAAAAAACGGCAACAATACACAGAGTTGCAGCCAAAACAACAAACATCAAAAGAGCAGCGGCCAACACTACAACAACATACCTCGCTTCGGCAACAACAACAACCACCGCTACCAACCGTGGTAATACCACTGTCAGCACTACAACAACAACAACAACAACCGCTATCAACAGTGGTAATACCACTACAACAACAAAACGAAGCAGTTGAAAAACAGGCAACGCAAAAGCTTAGAATGCCGGTAGAACAACAAACCACACAGCAACAACCAGAAATAATAAAATCTCAGAGAACACCTCAAATATCTCAAATTACCGAAACACAAAAAGTTACTCACACACAAAAACCGCTAGAGCCGAAGCGATTGGTCAAGCCAATTCAGCCGAGTCCACCACTAACCACACGAATTCATGTACAACAACAATTGCAGCAGCAGCAGCAAAAACAAGAACATCGGCAAATTGAAAAAGAAATGAATGAGTTGCTCCAAGAACAGCAATTAGTGCCACAGATTGTGGCAATAGCAGCCGATACGCAAACTCAACCGAAGTTGCAAGAGTTATCGCCACAACTAACACAAACAGCGCCACCAAACCATTTAGTAGCACAACAACTAGCAATAAATAACCAAAACATAACGGAACTTGCTGAAAACGCACAGACATTGATGGAGCCAATTGAACAAAATCAAGCCTTGCAACAACAAATAATAGTAGAAAGCTTCAATGCAAGCAAACAAGCTGGAATCGAGTTCTTGTCACAACCAACTGCACACCAGCGTCAACTTAATCAACCGCAATTTATTCTACAACGCACAAGCACTCAGATACAGGAGCAGCTAATGATTCGACCAACCTGTACGCTGTCGCAAGACTCTCCAGTCAATCTGCCGCCAATGGTGAAACTCGCCAATAAACAAACAAGCAACACAACAAAGGTGAAAACTGTAAAGTCTACAAAAGCAACAACACGCAAGGGCGCAAAGAATAGCGATTATGTGCCACAACTCACGCACGTCTTCCAACCGTTACCTGTTGCCTTAAACACCAAAAAAGCAACTACTCAGTCAATAGCCACTGACAGCTTGCGACAATTTACCACAGACGTTGCAACACCAAATAACCAGCAACCGCAACAATTAACTTCAGCCGTCGGAGAGCAATTAAGCACAGCTAGCAATATAAACGTATCGCCACCAAATGCAAATGCCATGATTTTAACGCTGCCCGCAACCATGAACGCGGCAAGCAGCAGTGCGTCCAATACATCGTATGTGTATACGCTGAGCGGCGATAGTACATTCTTCAATAGTTCGGAAATCTTGAAGGCGATTGAAAATTATCAACTTCAACTTAGTCAACAGCAACTGGCGCAGTCAGAGCAATCGATACAACAACAAGCATGCGCACAAATGTCCGAATTAGTATACGTGCAAGCGGATATGGCACAGCTACAACAACAACAATGCGCAGAAATGCAGCAGGAGCAACAATTTGAACACTACAATCAGTTGCAAGTTACACAGCAACAGCAGCAACAACTACAACATTACCCAGCAAGCACACAAATTTCACAGCCTCTAACATTTGTAGCGAGCGCCGAACAGCAGCAGGCGACACAACAACCACAACAACAACAACGAAAGTTACAACAGTTACATCAGCAACAAGTACCGTTACAAATGTCACAACCATTGGTGATGTGGGATCGCGCCAAACAGCAACAACAGTCACAACAACAACAAGCATATCAGCTATTATTACAACAACCGCAACAAGCGCAACCAATTGTATATCAATTAGTGAATGTCAACCAGGTAAACAATATAGCACAAATCAAGGATTCTGATGCTGCTGCATCAAAAAACCCAAATGCACCCTAATGCCATGTATAATTCGCCACTACTTAATATACATACATACATATAATGCATAACAAATGTTTATGTATTTTAAACATAAACATTTCCTATGTACATAGCCACATTTATGTACAACAAATAAACAAACAAACTCAAAAAAATAGTGCTGTTGCTTAAACTGCTCTTCTTCTTACGTAGGCGCCGCACACCGCCGACGCCGACGCCGTTGAACAAGCTCAACAGTATTTGCAGTTGACCGCAGAGCAAAGACAAACATCTAATTTGACACAACGTGAAGTACACGAAGCGTCCACCACACAAGCGCAACAATCTACCACACTCGATACCGTTAGCGAACACTTACCGTATATGAGCTCAAACGAAATGTTGCAGGTAAATGTTTGGTTAGAACACAATTATGCCATGACACCACTATCACCCGCACTATTATTAAGATCATTGCCTTCACCAAAAGGTGTCTGTCGCATGCGTACACGCCCACCGCCTAAACCATTCTTCTACCGCAGATTAGAGAAAATTGACTACTTTCGCGAGTTGACGGCGCTCAATATTGCCGAATATCAGCTGCAGTGCACCAGTTTGGGCAAATCATATTTGCAAGCGAAAATTCGCACAACACACCTGCGTACGGTAGTGAGTGGCGATATACTGGCGGCGTTGTTGCCACGCCTACCGTCAGATGTACTAAAACACTTGCAATTGGTGCTGCAATATCTTGGTGAATTTCATTTTAATACCTGGGAGCAGCGTCAGCAAAGAAAATTAATTTCGAAATGCTCACAACGCACGCTGCACACCTTGTGTGCGCATATCCTGTTATTATTTTTCCAATACTCATCGTCATTCCAAAGTAAATGCTTGGATTTGGCAGCAGCAGGGTGGCAATTAGAGCAGCGCGACTGCTTGAGTGTTGATACAGCGGGTGCGTCGACTCAACGAACAGATAATATGCTTGAGGATTTGAGTTTGGCCATTGATCCGTGTATACTAACGGAGATGGCAGCGCTTAAGCGTAATTTATGACATTTCAAGGCAAATTCACGATGTGTTAATAATAACTGTAAATAAGCAGTAATTTTAAAATTTTTCATGTTAAGATTAATACTAAGGTATTTTGTTGAATAATATTAAACCTCCAATGCACATATGTATATGCATACATACATACTATGTATATAACATGTGCTTGTAGTATTTATATAAATATCACACCTTCTTCGCTGAATAGTCTGGCAGACTTTAATACTTTTAGTATCCAATATTTTATTATTACTTCACCAGCCAAAATTAAAACATTTTTTCAAGCAATATACTTTTTTTAACCATTTTTCAAAACCGCTTTTCAAAACATTTTTTTCAAAACCCGTTTTTAAAAGTTTTTTTTTAGAACAGTTTTTCAAACCCGCTTTTCAAAACATTTTTTCCAAACCTCTTTTCATACATTTTGTTTCCAAAACAGTTTTTCAAACCTTTTTTTTTTAAGTTTTTTTTAAAACGGTTTTTCAAAACATTTTTTTTCAAAACCGTTTTTCAAAACATTTTTTTTCAAAAAAGTTTTTCAAAACTTTTTTTAACCGATTTTCAAAACTGTTTTTTTCAAAATCAAAAACGTTAAAAAAACATTTTTTGGCTGTTAAAGTAATAATAAAATTTTTTTAGAAATCGCTCCTCGTCTGTGGTGAAAATTGTTAATTGTTATTTTATAGTTCTTATTTGTTGTCATACTTTAATTTAAGAAGTGTAGAAGAGACTTTTCTAAAAGTACTATATACCTATAATATTCATTTTGAGTATCGAACGAAATGTGTGCTTTTTCTAAGTTCTCAAATCAATTTTAAATCCTCATTATCTGCGCTGATTTCCAACTATCATAAAAGGGAGTTATTACTCACCATAGCACTTTAACTTTAGGCGAATAAAATCTAACTTTTCCTCAGAGCGTAAAAGTGAGTGCAGCGTTATAAACTTACAGTTACAAATATAAGTGTTTTTATTTGAAATATGTAGTAGCACTTTAACCAATGGTTACGTGGTCATATCATATCACATTTCAACAACAGTATTTTGAACAACAAAAAATCTTTAGAAGTTGTAGAAAACAGGTTTTTGAATTCACTTTAATTTAACCAGCACTTTAACCGCCGGTTAAGTCTTTTTGTGCACATGGAGGATCTACTACAGCTGCTTTCATAGCTCGGCAGTCTCGAGTGCCAATTTATACTTTAAAATTGCAGTATTTAAAAAACAACTTTGTATTAAAATACACTATTAATATATTAATAAATATTATAAGTTTTTTAAGTGTTAAAAATAATAAGTTAAATCAGTTATAGTAATGTAATAATTTGCTGTTAATATATGATTTTTTTATGAATACAATTGGTTTAATTTTTTTTGGTGGTAAATGATGGTTTATTTTATTTTCAGCAATATTATTATTATTTTGTTAATATGTAGCGCGCCAATAAAATTTATTTAGTTATATAAATTTTTTTTTAATTTTGCATTTTACACATTTGGCTCACAAGCGCACAGTTGCACTTAAAAAACTTCACTCATTTTTAAAGCAAATTTTATGTTCCATTTTCGCTTTCATTTTTTTTTTTGCAGTCTAATACATATTATCCACCATACATTTCATCGTCAAAAGAGCTGATGTGGTGGTGTTCGGATGATACAATAAATTAGGAAACAAACATACATATCTATATACTAAATATATGCTCAACATATAGTATTTTTATATTTATAAATATATACACGTACTTCCAATCGGGGCATAACATTTTTTCGCCTTCGAATTTGTGCAATTAAAAAAAAAAATAATTTTCACTTACAACATACTATTAAAAGTTTATACAAAAGTTTGGAAAAAATTAATTATGGCGCGGTCCGACAAGTAGTAAGTAGAAATAAATTTATAAACGAAAAACTAAAATTTATAAAAAAATCGCGAGTTGTTTCTTAACATATGTTAGTCTCCTTTAAACTCGTTATACTTGAACTTCTTAAAACCGTCTAAAAGATGGATTTCTGGAGGTCTGTAAGATCATTTGACTTAAATTTCTGCTGGCAAGCGACTAAACCGGTGAGTTTGTAAGCAAAAGAAAAACTCGCAGGGAGTCATACCTCGAAAATACGGTGTACAGGGCAGCAGTTTTTAGCCTTATTCGACCAATTTGGAGTGCCGACGTTGGAGGTATGAGCTAGTGCCGCGTAATGGCGGAAGTGCCTTTCCTTTGTCAAATGGCACCTTAATAATTCGGCATAGTAAAGTGCTGAGACCAATTTTCTCTTGTATAGATAGTTGAGATGGATCACATCTTGTTAATCTCAACACGTTTCTGGCCGATAGCACAGTTTACGTCTCTTTAGGAGTAGATTCGCAGAGTGAAAATCACAGATGCTTGGTTTCTGATGTGCAGTAGTGGATCCATGTTCCTCATGGAATGAGGGATAAACTCATATAAAAACGAAATTAAACTCGAAATAAAACTCGAAATTTTTGAAGTCTAAGTCGGTTTGAGTGATGTGAAAGAGTAGAGAATAAAAAAACTTTTTGGAAAGTGGGTTTCAGTCAGTTACATACTTCGATTTCAACAGATTTCGATCTCTCAACCAACATGTAGGCGCTACATTGTAGGGTATTAAGTAACCCATATTCGTCTTTAGTATGTAACCAAATTTGTCGATCGCGTGCCAAAAGTTGTTAACCCAAAATCGTGGACTGTGGAAGAGCGCGAGAGCGCCGTACATGCTTCGAGAGCACTCATGATGCAATGATGAAACACTCATTGCATGCTATCGAACGCAAGCGCCACAATGTTAATGTGACTTTGTTGTTAATGCAAGCCAAAAGCAGCAACAGTCACCAGGCAGCCAGTAGTCGCGCCTGAATACTCGGCCGTGCAGCGTGCGTTTGGGGAACAGCGGAAAAGTGAACGTAGCGAACGAGCGTGTTGTGAGGTGTTTGCCTTAGTTGTTTGTTGTCACAAAAACAAAACAAGAAGAAATATAGCAAACAATTCAGGAAAAGCACAAAGGCAGCCAATACAAGTAAATCGAAATATAAAATAAAAATAACTTACATACATACAAATATATATATTACTCGCATTAACTCAGCTGCCAAGTTAATAAAATGTAGTCAGCGGCTAGCAAACAACAACAATAACTGCTAAATTTAAATAAAATCTAATGAAAATGTGTTTTTTAGTGTGTGTATGTATGTGTGTGTGCGTGTGTGTATTGCTGCATCGCGTGGGCATTGAACGAAAACAAAACAAAAGTGATGAAAATGCACTCAAACAACAACAATGTATTTAATATTGACCCAATTCAGCAAAATCGAAAAGCGAATGAAATCATTAGAAAGCAGACAAAGCTATTCATTGAGTCAATTGCTAACTGTTAAATATTTTAAGGGTTCAAAATTGTTGTGGAATATAATTGGAAGTAAGACTAACCGGTTTTTTAGATACAAAACTAGTTATGCATGCGTTTTTTTTGCATATTTTTTATGAAGCAATTTTTTTCTCTAAATTTTTGTGTTCATTTATGTTTTGTAGGCTGCTTGTTGTTTACGGTAAAGCGTAGTTTGCAGACTAGTTAAACAAAGAATTCTGCAAAAAAGTATTAAATATTTTTCGCAAATTTATTACAATAAAGTTGGTGCTAGTTTGGGTCCGTAACTACGAGACTTAAAGTAGAATACCGCGAGAGCCGGTTTCATGTAACAAAATTGACTCGAATTTTAAGCGTCAAATTTGAATATTTCTATAAGAACAAAAAAAAAAAAAAATTTCTAGAGTACAATAGCTATGCATATATATACTGATGTATATAGTATGTATATAAGTCTTTTCTCTTTCGGCTTCAACACTTTTTTAAACCACATTGTGGCTGCCAAACAATCAATTAGGTTCCAAGCCTAAGAATTTATTGAAAATTATTTTCAAAACAGTTTATATAATATTATATTATATATATGTATACAAAGATATATAATAATTAAAAAAATATATATATATCTAGTTATAAGCAACTAATTTTCATTTATTTTAATTTTGTGAAAAAATGTTAAATTTCTCTTTCATACAGAACTCTATTTTATCATCTACCACTAAAGTAAATTCAATTAAATTTGATTGCGTACCTAATCAATGCAGATAAGTACGAGACACACGCATCATAAAACCATAATAAAAACAAAACAAAGCTTAAGCGTGAAAAATCGTTAGATAAAGGAATAAAATAAGGGAGTAAAAGTTCGAGTCGCACCGGCGAATATTAACTATTATTATTGAATATCGAATCACTATAATTAATAAGAAGTTAGTAAATAAATAAATTTTGCCAGCTGACGTTATATTCGACTCTTCTAACTTCACTTTACATTACATAGGATGTTTTTTTAATTAAATATAGATACTCTAGAGAGATAACTGTCAAACAGCTGTCAAAGTAAATACATGTGTTTCACAGTTATGCCAATTATATTATGACATGATCATCACATTCCTAAAAATATTAGCATTTTAAGTTTTAGCTTCCACTTTATATTACATTGGGTGTTTTTTTTAGGGATATACCTACATAGATATAAATAGTATAAAAAGATAGCTGTCAAACCAGCTGTCAAAGTAAGCGCTTGTGCTTGAATAAGAAGCTATCAAACAAGAGTTAGTTATGTCCAATATGTTATGGAAAAATATCACAAAAAAACTTGCAACGGAACAACGTTCAAAAATCATAAAAATTTATTTTCAAAACACGCGATCTATGCGGTAAGTACATGCAAATTTTTGCTCTACATATGTTTTAGCGAAGAGCCATATTTTGAGCTTGAACAGGTACTGTAAATGACAAAATTACCGTACCATAACTGCGAACAAGCCGGAAGAGACTCTCCGAGCACCTTAGCATCTAGAAAATTAGAATTTAGTGTGGATTGCATGCCGTAGCATTATTAGTCCATACATTTTACAAGTGAGGATGTAGTCAAAGTTGGCGTCTATGTCTGTCAAGCGCTGTAGACAAATGACTCGTGAGTTTTTGGTTCCTCACGCCAATTTTAATTATTTTCTAAGTGCTAAATGGTTTCAATAGGACGTTAGAATTAATTTCACTGTGCTTGAAGCAATCACTTTACTAGAACGAATTTTTGTCGGCTGAAGATCAAAATCAATTTTTTATTTGACAGGATATTAGCACGAATATATTCGGTGCGCTCAAACACACCCTTTATAATTTATCAGGAAAGAGACACTTGGCACAAGTTCTTTGCCAACATATTTCAATGTTTACATGAGCTAATCGTGACTCAAAAATTTCTTAGATACAACCAATATATATATAACACCTACTCTCTGCCAGCCATAGTAATACGTCGACAAAGTCATAATACCCTTTTTGAAACGTGTTCATCGGCTCGATTATAAAACTGTTAAACGTCAGCTATTTCGTTTGCAACACGATTTCTTAGCAAGCAACTATTTGCTTTTGTTTTTGTTTCTATTTTCTTCTTCGGCTCTCGAATTTTTATTGTATTTGTTGTGACAACAAACAGCTGGCGTTGGTTGTTTTACGAGTTTAACAGTTTACCACTCATACACACTAGTTAGACGGCATCTGTTGCGCTCTGTTTCATATATTAAATAATAATAGACGCTTATCAGCGTGCTAATGCAATCACTTAGATAAAAGCAACAATAACAAGCACATAAGTACTATAGCTGTATATATGTATGTATGTGTGTGAAGTAGTAATCATTTGCATGAACTACACTACCACAAGTTTTATTTAAACAGAATGATTAGTGTTTTTTAAACTCTGGTGAGTGAAGCATTTTATTATATAACTATTATATATATTTTTTTTAATATATATTTTCGTTTAGTGCTCCAATGCTCTTGTTAATTTTCCACTACTAATAAATATAATAATAATTACACCAAATATTAGGTGCAAAAAATTTGAATTTCATATCACATAAAACAACAATAAAGCAACCGGAAGCTTCACAGGTGGTCGCATACCTGATAATATATGCAAATACAACGCTAATTGCTACAAATTATAAGCTTTTAAGATTAGCAAATTCTACACACTTACATATTTACAAGTTAAAAAAAATTAAAAAAAAAAGAAAAAACTTTAACATTGCCTGCATCGAAGCTAAAATACCCTTCACAAATACAAAGGTTCCTTACAAAAACTTGATACCGATCGTTCAATTTGTATGACAGCTATATGATATAGTGATCTCATCTCAACAATTTCTTCGGAGATTTTATTATTGCCTTAAATAGGAATCCATGCCAAATTTCGTAAAGATATCTCGTAAAATGAAAGAGTTTTCCATACAAATACTCGATTCCGTTTGTTCAGTTTGTATGACAGCTATATGCTATAGTAATCCGATATAAACAATTTCTTCGGAGTTTACATTGTTGACTTAAAAAATAACTCATGCCAAATTTCGTGAATATATTACGTCAAATAAAAAAGTTTTTCATACAAATACTCGATTCCGATTGTTCAGGGTATAAAAAAAAAAGTCCATGGCTGCACCAAAATATATGCCAAATTTCGTTAAGATATTGCGTCAAATAAAACAGTTTTCCATACTTTAACGGATCGGACTACTATAACATATATTCGCAAGAGTATAGTCTTGCTTGCAGTTCTGGATCCCAGTTTCTCTTTTTGATTGCAAATTTAAATTTTTAAGCATTTGTATACTTCTAGTTGATCCTGTTTAACGCTTTTATTTAATGCTCTTATTGTCGTTCGACAATTAGTCGAGTGATCTTGTTTTTTAAATACACTTTAAAGCTCAAATCAGTCAGAAATTTAATAATATATGACAGAGTTTTACAGATTTGCTCGAAGTGTATAAAAAACCCAAAAATTCCTTATTTAAATGCGTCTATATGTACATACCATATATAATAGACAAGAACGTCTTGCAGTTAATTAACGTATTCAGTTAAGGAATTTAAGGCGAACTCATTCGAAAAAACGATCTCGCGAACGAAGTGCAATAAAACGCTTATCATTATGAAAATTGTCTTTGTTTAACTGAGAGCTTTGGCATCATTTCGCATATTATAAAAATGATGAGTGCGAGTTGAATATATATATGTACTTCTATGTATGTAAATGTAACTACAAGTATATGCATGCGTGCAAGCGTTAATTTATCTTTAAATATATATAAGTTACGTTTGCTATATGTACATACATAAATCTGTATTTGTAGAGCCTACAGTACTCGCTATTAATATGAATACTTATACTCATTTAATTATGTAGTATGTACATATGTGTGCACTTGCACTGCTGGATATTCGCCAGTCACGCAGGTGAATCTCATTGCAAACAAAGTGAGGATTGAACTTTTTTTTTATTATTTGTACATATATATGTATGTATGTATATACGCATAAAAGTAGGTATTATGTATGTGATGTGATACATTGCATTTTTAAATGCTTTAGTCAGTGATGTGCCTTGCACTCATGAATCAAGTGCAAAGGGGATCTTCAACACATTTGTTTTGCACAAATGTTTTAGCAAATATTAATTATTAATAATAAATAAATGTAAAATAATATTTATCGATGTCCGGATTGTGAGTGGGAAAATAACTCACCGAAAAATTGAAAAGCGATTGCTACTCAACAGCGGTTATCGGGCCTATGTCTGCATTACCGCAGAAAAGTTTCAATTTTGTTCGAAAGTGTTGGCTACTGACGCTCATTGTTTATTGCTTGTCTAAAGATGTTTCAACACAAGCTTCTGTAAAAGATTTATCAAAGTCGACTGTTCAATTTTCTATATTTTATTATAAGACTATATTAATAAGCTTCAGTTTAGCGTATGTCCTTAAATAGTTAAACTTTCTCCAAACATAAGAGGATTTTTCGTGACAGAGGTACCCTCTCAAGTATACGCAATATAGTCTATGTTTGCTCCGATCGGGGTAGTATCCGAGCAAGCACTGCGTATTAGCTATGCATTCAACTTCTCATTCAAATTCACTGAAACTCAACTTCCGGTATGCACATAGCTTATGATCGAGCGAACACTATTTGGTTATCGATCACTACTCTTGGTCGGTAAACTGTAAGTGTTCAAGGCAAACAATTTATGTTAAAGAGTTATTTTAGATATTTGTCTTACCACCTTTTTAAAGAAGTCTTAATAAAGCAAATCTATCTTAAGGACATTTCCTAGAATTCGCTCCTTCAAAATTCCTATACGAAATGAAAGAAGTGTGCTCTCCTAACTCATTTAAAAATCATTTCTGACAGTGCACTTTTTAACTTTCGCTTTGAGCGTTACGACTTTGCTTCGCTTTATCAAGCGAATCCACAAATCGTCATTATATTTGCATTTACATTTTGGGAATAAAAGTTTTACAATGAACGCGCTCGAAGAATAAGAAAGTACACTTGGAATAACAAAAATTTACCCAGTCATACAATTATAAACAGTTAAACAGTGATTTTGGGTAAATATACAATAATTGTGATTACTTATCTCGATGAAATTGTCACAATTTGCTTAATTCTACTACCCATCTGTTTATATAGAGGTATGAGGCATGTGCTCAGCGATTTTAGTAATCATATTTTATTACAATCACTTCAGCATTTATGTTAAGAACTATACAAATTATACTCATTCACGTGTAGTATCTGATTTCATTTCGTCAAGTACTATGTCTAGGTTCTGACTAATTCGTCAACTACTAGTTATATGGGATAATAGCTATAATTCGTTATCTGCATGTTTCATGCGTGTTAGGTAATAGCCCTAATCTTGAGAAGTTTTAAATTATTTTATTTACGATATTTCGACATAGTGCTCATACATATTGTTTTAAATAGAAGGTTGTCGTTTGTTGCTGCAAAGCCTGTTAGAACCCTGAGCTTGACAACAGCACTCAAGCAGCTATATTCGTGTTGGAATATCCACTTATCCTAAGGGTAAGCAAAAAAACTCTTCTTAGAACGAAATAGCGGCCTCTACACGTTGTTGGTTAACGCCATTTGCATTTATTGAGCTATTGACCATTAACACCTACTTAAAATTCAAAGTATATTAATTTATTCATCTAGTGGTATGTTGCTTCCAATATATTTAAACCTGTTCGGTAATAAATCTATTGATGGTAAAGTAATCTATTGATGAAAATAGATACGTTTCTTTGATGGAGACTTCACAGCTCTCTTAATTATCATATTACACTATTTTCAAGCTTTTCTTCGTATATTTTTAAAGAGATCATCAGGTTTTTTTGAGGTGTATATTGAGCAAAGCTGATACGGTTTTGTGACGATTCGTGAGAGCCATTGTAACTATCATACAGCCCGATATTTTTAAACTATTTTATTAACATCGGCAAAGAGTTGATTGATATTGCTAGTTAGAAATGAATTCAGGTTCATTGCAGTTCCGACTGTATGGGAAAATAGTAACTCTTTAATGTAATCGGTATCGAGTTTAGCGTGAGCCTATTCAGCATAAGACTATCGGTGAAAGCTGCGATCATCAAAATAAATCGGATTACGGTGGCTTCGATCATATAGTTTTCAAATTATAGACAACAGACCAAATCGCATACACACATACATTATGTGTTTCATAAAGAGATCTGAATAGCTTAATAGGCACATACAATTTTTTTAAGAGTAGTCAAAAGCTTAACAGTTATCTTGAACTATTTCATACAGTTTAAGACGCCTCGCTTACTTTTGATACTTTTTCGTATACACATATACATAAACATATTGTGTTTAGTGATATCATCGACCGCTTAAGCTTAAGAAGAGCTTTTTTGGCATACCTAAGCACGTACACACAGCAGTAATTTTGCAAAGCTTTTTGAATTTTGACATTTTATTCTACTGTTTTGACATATGCTCTGCAGCTGACTGCATATCCTGTCGTTTGTTTACGAAATTGCATTTGTTGAAACGGTATAGTTTGTTATTGCACCAAGCAAAGCTTGGAAGCAGAATGCAAGAGTTATTATTAACAGTTACTGTCGATGTAAGTATTATGAAGTGAATTAATGATCTCATTTCTATCAATTTCTCTATTAACTACAGTTTCCGACTCAGCATGTAAATCAGCATATATAAATCGAAATTGGTTTTAGCAAAGCATCGTATGCTTATATCTAAATTTTCATCAATGTTCAGAGAGTTCAAATGTCGAGCACAAAGCTGCCAAACATAAACTGTAGACTCCAAGCTTCTTAATTAAAAGTACAATAACCAACAATGGGCAATTCTTGTAAAAAATCACAAAAAATACCAGACGATGTTGATGATGGCCTTGAAACATTGGAGGAATATCGGAGCCGTTGGCGTTCTGTGCGCGTCATTTATTTCACAATGTTCCTGATGTCACTTGGTTTCAGTATAATACTTACTGGCATATGGCCGTACTTAAATAAGGTATGCATATAATATAGTTAATAAGAAAGTATAAATTCTTTTTCACATACTACTTCATAGCTAGATCCAAAGGCGGGAAAAGAGTTCATGGGTCTCATTGTTGCTGCAAATCCGTTGGGTCAGATGATTTTCAGTCCGCTCTTCGGTTGGTGGAGCAATAAAATTGGCACCATTCGTTTACCCTTACTATGCTCGTTAGCGTTATTCACATTCGCAAGTGGGCTTTATTCATCACTAGAAATGCGTCCTGATCATGTCAAATACTGGATGTTGATCTCACGTTTTTTAATTGGCGTCAGTTCGGCAAATATTGCTGTTTGTCGTTCGTATTTATCGGCGGCGACACGTTTGAGCGAACGCACAAAAGCCGTTTCGATGGTGTCGCTGGCACAGGTATTGGGTTTCATTGTGGGACCCGGTCTACAGACGGCTGTAACACCATTGGGCAATGATGGCTATAGTTTTCTTTGGGGTTTCATTGTTTTCAACATGTATACAGCTTGTGGTTGGATAAATGTACTTATGAGCATTGGTAACTTTATAATGTTTCTGCCGGGACTTTTTGAGGTAGTATAACTAATAGCTGGTCAATTAATTGATTTGTAACTCAAATTGTTTACTTTTTGACATCCAGGAACATAAGATAGCTGCGCGCGAAATAATGATAAAACAGGGTAAAAGTTCGGAACGTGAAACGTGGAAGGCCATCAAACCGGACTACGTGTCAGCGTGGACCTTGATTATGGCATTTTTCGTGTTGGTCTTCAACTTTGTGCTGCTCGAAACGTAAGTACTCTGATGCAGTCATATTCGTAATTCATTGTCTCACTCAGTTGGTTTGTTGAATAACGACGGTGGAAGAAACTTAAAAAAGATGTATGTAGATAGAGGCCGTGATCTTATTAGAGTACCTTTGATTTTTATTTTCGACTAAGATAAGCTCAAGAGAGGAAAAGAAGGAGAAAGTTCATTATTCTGGACTTTCAAATCTTGACCTTTGCTTCGCCAAATTCTTCGTCAAATAATTATGCTCTCCACTTAATACCCATTTCAATTTTTGAACATCTGTATTAAAAATCTATTTTCTTTCAGACTCGGCACCTCTCTAACCATGGATCAGTTTGCATGGAGCAATCATGAAGCACTCTACTACATGGGCATATTGATGTCAGTGGGTGCCATTGTGGCGCTCGCCACATTCGTTGCCATCAATCCGCTTTGTAAAGTTTTTCCCGAACACTATGTGCTCATATGGGGTGGCTTTTCCTTAATGGTACTCGGGCGTGTGCTGTATATACCTTGGGGCGATGGACCACCTGTTATTGCTGAAGTTTACAATGACACAATACCGCTGACGGGCAATGCTACAATAGATCTCGAACCGAATGATATAGTATTTCTTGGGTGTCCTAAAACACAGCCATGGTGTGAGCTAACACCAGCGCTGACCTTAACACAATTTATCATCGGCTATGCATTCACCTCGATCGGTTATCCGATCGGTGTCACTTTGATACAAACGATCTTCTCAAAGGTATTGGGACCACGACCGCAAGGTGTTTGGATGGGTCTGATGACCGGTGCCGGATGTTTGTCGCGCGTATTGGGACCGGTTTTTGTTGGTGTGATCTATACACGTTATGGTACGTACTGGACGTTCGGCATAACGTCGGTGATGATGTTCGTAGCGATGATATGGTTGCTATTATCGAAGTGAGTGCTTTATTTTCGAAAACTCACATTTTATATATACTTATGTATGTATATATTTTCCAGAAAACGTCTGATACCACCGAGTTTCGACAATTCTATGGGTGCCGAAATGCAAACACTGAGTACAAATAAAGTGCCACTACAATCAGAGGAAGCCGAGTACAAAATAGTGCCACAAATTAATGACGTAGTGCCGGCGTTGATAGAGAATGAAGATGAACTGGATACTGCTCTAAATACAGCGCTGTATTCGAAAAGAAATAGTATAACTATAGTTGTAGGGGAAAAGTGATGTTTTTATACAGTTATAAGTATAAAATGTACCGCGGAAGCTACCTTTTTAATAGCTACGACTTTTAGGTACACTTAGTTTCGATAGGGAAGAAAAAATTGTTTGTTGTATATTAACCCAGGTTCGAAAAAAAGTATAAGCTACAAGTTTGTAAAAACATATGAAAAAACACTTCTAACCTTCTTTAAAATGTTTTTTTTGTGAATATAGAGTTATATATTTCTAAAAATAAATTATGTATATGATAGTATTAAAATTAATTAAGTTTTAAATTATAGTTTTTTTACAGTTGACAAGTGTATTGCCATTGTTTACTTAAGAAGAATCCATAATTTTATATATTTATATATGTTTACAAATATATGTATATGTATTAAATTTGAATATTTTTATAAACACATATTTAACTAAAGTTATGAAACATTAAGCAATAATAGTATATTTTTGAAATATTTTTCAAGGTCAATATTAAAAAATAAATTTTTGAGAATTATAAACGTTGATTGAGCATATCGTTAAGGTTCCAAAAGAACGAGAGCGAAATTTGCTATATTTACTCATTAATGAATAAACGGCTCGACGAGACATTTGTTTCTTAACGGTTTCTAAATTAAACCTGAAACGTTTAGATCTTATACCTTTAATAGAACTAATTGTAATCTAAATAAATCGCCTAAGCAGATTTGTAATAGGTCCAATCCAAATATGAGGTTAGGTTCGCTTAGGTTACGTGGTCAATCTTAATAGGAATTTGATTTGAACAGTTTAGAACGCTGCTTTTTTGTGGTACTTATATAATATGTAGATCATTAGACTCTTACAAATCAACATCAACGGCTAATGTCAGTTTCGGCTATGTCTTCTGGTTCACCGAAGTTAAGACTACCAAAATGTTTCTATCTCAGTCTTGCAAAGGCTGGACAATGAACAATGTTTCCGCCTCACTCGCCACCATATAACTTACGTACGCAATGAATTTAAACCTTACCGCAAGAATGCCTATATGGACAATGTACAGTAAGAGTTCAAATATGAGATAGGCCAAAGAATTTAACTTGCAACTGTTGTTTTTGCCATGTGTTTGTAGTCCGCTAATAAACAAAGCTGCTTGCAATCAAGAACATGATAAATATTATATAATATTTTACTTTTAAAACAAGCAAAGATTCGTTTGAAAATAATATTTTTACAAATTCGTGTTCGCGCTAATATTTCTACTTGTATTCACTTCAGTATCAGCTATTGTTATCGGCTTGCATTGTGAATGATTTGATCTCATATAAATAACTCTCTTAATAAACAAAACGTTCAAGACTCAATACACTTTAAGAGAGCCATTTGTATGCAACTGTTTTCTTGACTGCTATGTATACTTTTCTGACTAGCTTTTACAAAACTGAAAGCAACGTACTGACCCAACTTGTTTTACTGATGGGTTCTTCAGAGACCGGTTAGTGATTTCACTAAAAAAAGCTTATAGAACTACTTAATACTGATTGCTACGCTATCATTATCGATATAAATAGTAACGAGATATTTGTTAGCTTTTCAGTCTTTCACTAGCCTTCAGTAAAGCAAGTCGTTGTTGTTCTTTTCGAAACTAAGTGTTAATATAATGGAACGTTGGCAAAATCGTGTTGCAGCCGTTACCGGCGCTAGCTCCGGCATAGGTGCTGCTACCGTTAAGGATCTGCTGAAAGCTAATTTAATTGTTGTCGGTCTGGCGCGTCGCTTGGAGCGCATGGAAGAACTGAAGGCACAATTACCAGCTGAACAACAAAAACGCTTCCATGCCGTCGCTTGCGATGTTTCATCACAAGAATCCGTTGATGCGGCATTCGATTGGATCATCAAGGAGTTGGGTGGCGTCGATATTCTTATCAATAACGCGGGTATCTTTAAAGCTGGCCACGTTAGCATTATGAATCCGGTGGAAATGCAACAAGTCATACAAACCAACGTTATGGGCGTGGTATATTGCACACAACGTGCCTTTAAATCGATGAAAGAACGTAATTTTGATGGTCATGTAGTTGTGGTTAATAGTGTCTTGGGTCATAGTATACCTTTCACAGTTGGTGACAATAAACCACCGATAATGAATGTTTATGCGCCCTCTAAGTTTGCGCTAACTGCCCTTACGGAGATACTGCGTCAGGAATTTAAAGGACTAAGCACCAAGATTAAGATTACTGTAAGTATATTTTACCTATATACATATACATTTACATATCTAAGTAAATATGATATGTAGAGATATACTTATGTACATAGATTGTTGGCGTAAATTATCCGTATCAAGTTTCGATTTTCAATTAGATAACGATAAATGCTAGTCATAACGCCTATGACATTCAAACCCACATAAACGTATACATATATAAATTGTGTGGGTAATACAAGTATTTTAAGAGAGTACACGCGGATTTTTCTCTACAGCGCACAATTGAGAATAATTCATAGTTCTAAATGAATATGTTTAGGGTATAGTAAGAGATAGATTAGTTGTATCTCTGCCTAAATTTTCTTTCATTGCTGCTGTATAGAAGAAACTACACTTTTGTACGTTAGATAGTTTCTACTTGTGGTCAATGTTTTTTGGAAGCTTTTATTAGCATTAATATATATATATTTTTTTGTCTTGCAGAGCGTTAGTCCCGGTTTAACCGATACGGAAATTGTGCCAGAACAATATAAGAGCGCTAAGATTCCATCTCTAAAATCGGAGGATGTTTCGAGCTGTATTTTGTTTACACTCTCTACACCACCACATATGCAGGTGCACGAGATCACTGTGAAGCCGGCTTTGGGCGAATAAATCCATAAAAAATATATATGTTTATATATATTTCGTTAAGTAGCTCCATCAAATGTTTATGAAGGTCTAATATATATAATAATAATACTTAAATTGTAAATTATCTAATTAATTGCAATAAAATTAATTTTATTTGACTTCAACATTTTCACTGAACATCCTTAATGTATTATATCTATGCGTGTTATTTATACTGCTTCATCTTCTTTATGTAATTTATTTAGCTTGCACTCTTGTTGATAAGGTTTAAATAAATGTAATTAATTATTTTTACTGTTGCATGTATGTAACAAGTAAATCGACCGTTATGGTTCTTGCACATCTTTATCTGTCAGTAATTTTCCATTTGTGTATAATAAGGACTGACTATTCTTATTAAAGTGACCAGTAGATGGCGAGTCAAAGTATAGAATGTACAAAGATTATATTTGTATATTAAAAAGCGTATTATATAATTCCATTGGCATAAGCACATAACCTAAAATCTGCTTTTAACTTAAAACTGTAATAAGTTTTGAATTACGATTGAAATAGCTTTTTAATTTTTGTGCAACAAAATGACTAATCGAATAGTGTTCAAGTTCAAATTTCGTTTGTATTTCACGTTCAGTGAATAAAGAAGGGGTTAGGGTTGTTTGCTTAATACCTCAAGTAATAATTATTCTCTGATTTTTATGAAATATCGAAAGAAGAACGTGTATTATTTTTTAATACAGCAGTTGTTTCTCTTAGGACCGTTTTCTCAATATATGGATAAACATTAAACCAGAACTTTATCGACAACATGTTGAGAATGGTTTTCTCAATATCTGGTTAGCAACGATCTGTCAGTTAAGTTCTGGCAAACTTTACCGAAAGAAGCAGTTTTGGTTTCTAACCATAACATGAAATGACAGGTGTCAGCTGTAAAATCTTTAAGAAAAGCCAACTGCATAGACGGCGTTCAGACGGGGACTCTTTTGTTGGTCATTATTATTATACAATATATAAAGCATATTTGGGTGCATATATGCTTATTACATACAAAAAAGGGGTAATAATATTTAAATTTCCGTATATTATAATATTCCTCTGAAACCGAGTTCTGTTGCAAACATGGAATGGAATTTCAAAATGAAACGGATTGTCGAATTGCGTGGCGGAGAAAACGGTTCTGTCAGTTAAGGCTACCAGCGGTTAAGGGTAATACCGAGTATTGAGAAAACGGCAGTAAACATACAACAAAAAATAACCCAGTGTTATGATATAAAAAAAATAATATACAATTTTTGCGATTGAAAATTTTTAATTTTTTTTAATTTTTGATTTGTTTTTGAGAGAGTAAGAGATATATTACCTTGTATATTTTGTCTTAATGCAAATTTATTTTGCCAAATTAGTTTTGAAATCGCTTAATCTGGTCACTTGCTAATTTATGAGTAGCGTAATAAAGAGAAAGTTTTGCTGGTGTATCTCTTTTAATATCTGATTTCTTATATGACCTATGTACTTTGCATAATGATTTGCCTTTTTTTTTTAATTTAATTTGTTGTTTTATTTCCTCATATATTTATAGTGTATATATTTTAAATATATTACTGTACGTTACGTATGAAAAATGTTTGCGATGCAACAACTGTCCAGTGTTTTATTTCTCCCAATGTAAACAGTTGACAGTTATGAGACTGCTTGGGTTAGTAGAACAGATGAAGTTATTTGTTACAAAAACTGTTTACTCTTTGATTGCCAGGAATATATAATAGTTGCATGTGAAATAATCATAAAACAGCGTAAAAGTTCTGAAAATAAAATGTGGAAGGCAATCAAACCGGAATTACATATATGTATGTCAGTAGGGGCTTTAATTATGACATTTTTCGTGTCGGCCTTCCATAACTTTTTTTGAGCTACGACTTTCAGCTACGCCTAGTTTTAGGTTGCTGGGCAAAAATTGTTGTTGCGTTTAAGTATAAACCCAGGTTGAGAGAAAGTAAAAATTACAAATTCATTAAAAAAAATGGGAAATACTTCTGAACTTGTGAAACCTTTTTATTTATAAATATTGTCATAAATACATATATATTCAGTAAATTTTCAGTCTTCATCCAATATCACATTTCGACAATGTAGGTGACAAAATTAGCGAAGAAGTCACGATTAAAATTGATAATCTTGTTTATTATTGCCTTTAGCTGAAGGCTTGTGATTTAGAACATTATTTCGGTAAAAAAAGAGGGAAATAATACTTTTTGTCTTATAGATATGAGATAGATGATAATATACACAGATTTTTAGGCCCAAAAAAGTTGCTAAGAGAGCTAAATTTACAATCATTTGTAAAATTTACAAATTCTCTCCTATATCAGTCATCTAGGTGAACTAGTTGGAATTGAAATAAATCGTCTAACTAGATTTGAAATGGATTCAAGACGCTTTGTTCATACATGAGATTCAGACTTCAAGATATTTCGGTCATCATAAAAGACTTATGTACCTATAGCTATCCAAGTATGAGAACCGATACTCCATTGAAGATAATACAATTACAAATTCGTCTGCGCACTATTATTTTATGCTTTTAGGGCCTAAAAGAGATTACTCTTTACTCTTCACTAATCATCAGCTATTGCTACATAACTGTGATTAATAAATAAAACGATTGAGATTCAACACACTTAAGAGACCCATTTAAACGGAACTTTTCTCTTGGAAAACTAAAGATAAAAATACCTGTTTTTATCGGTGAGTTCTTTAAAAACCTCTTAGCCACTACAAAATGAAAACATTTATTATAACTACTTAATAGCTACGCTAGCATTAGCGATATAAATAATAGCTATATTTTTGGAAGTTCTTCAGTCTTTAACCAGGCTTCAGTAGCGGAAGCAGTTGGCAAAGATAAAGAGATTTATTCTTTGTAGATTTTGAGAGAATAAAAAAAAAATTACTATCATTATACTCACAGGGGTTTTTTTTTCTGAATGTAAATTTTCTAAAATAATTGTGAAATCACTTAATCTGGTTACCCTTTAATTGATGAGCAGAATAATAAGAGCAGCTTTCATTGATGCATCTCTTTGAATCTTTAAATTCATGTATGACAGATGTATATTGTATAATGATTTATTAATTTTTTCAAAGAATTTGTTGTTATATTCGCTCTATATAGTACAAGCAGAGATAAAGACATGCACAACTCATCTGTCACTGGAAATGAGAGAACAAATGCTTTACATGAAAACCTCCTGAACTCAGCCAACTGTCAAAGTTCAGAAGCTTTTTACGTTTAGAAATTGGAAAAAGAGGTCGATCAGATTGAAATCCTACCAAAAAATATGCGAACAGAGAGATTCGTGGTCGCGGTTGAAGATCACTAACAAAAATGAGAAAATAATGAAAATTAAAGAAAACGCGCAATTGAAATATTTGTGATGAAATCTTTTGTGATGCCATGCTTCGTAGTATTATTTTCAATTGCAAATGATAAAAAAAAGGTTATTAATTGAGAGCTAATACATTTATTCACTTTATTAAGCATTGAAAGTTCAAAAATGAATTGTTTTAATTAAACACAAAATCACAAAAAGGATTTTAATAGTTTCTCCATATGTTTAACGGACATATGTATAACATAATAATATTTAATCTTAATAAATGTATTTTAATTTAAATGTACAAAAATTATTATTTTTTGCAAACTGGCCACACTGGCAAATGTTATACAAAACGTTAATATTGAGGCGCTCTCACACTGGAATAAGTTGGACATCCCTTTATCCCTGGTATAGTCCGTGCCTTACATATGAGAGATGCTTGTCATGCAACAGCTGTCAGTTGATTTATTTATTAAGTGAGTACATAAATATGTAGATATATTGAGACTACCTGTTTAAAAGTAATTTAATGTCATATAATTACGTTAAAAGCTTTTCTTCTCTGTAACTTTAATTATATATATGAGCGATATGCGCGAATAAAAATGTACTCGTACTATGGTGCGTCTTACTTATATTTTGTAACGCAGTGAAAATAAACATTTTCATTTAGTACGAAATAAAGCTGTTTTTATAGCCTTAATAGAGTATATTACGTTTGCCACAAAGTCTGTAACTCCCAGAAAGAAATGTCGGAGATCCGTACGTATAAAAGTTCAGCGTGAGGAGCTGAGTTGATTTAGTCCATCTGTCTGTATATAGCTAGCTAGTCCCACTGGTTTTAAGATACCGCTCTGAAAACTTGCACGAGAAATCCGTTGGGTGGAGTAGACGCAATGAAGCAACTGTCACACTACGTGTGTAATTTCATGAAAAATAAACAGTTTTTCAACAGCGTTTATATAAAATTAAATAATAATTTATATGAAACTGCACTTTGGCATAATATAATGATTTCACAAATTTTTCTCCACTACCCTAATGTACAGATATTCCAGTAACTACATACATATATAAATAAATATCAATCTATTTTTCACATGTGGATAGATAACCGTATGCATACGGTATGCAGTTTTGTTGTGCCCGACAACGACTTCTGGAAATAAAGAAAAAAAAAAAAATAACAAAACAAAGCCGGTGTTTATTACAAAGTGTTTACCAGCTATATACTGTTGCTCAATTTAGTATACGCTCACATTTCGTGGTGAACAGTTAATAAAAATTTAATCAACTGTTTCGCTAAATTCAACTTAGTACATAAATTTTAAAAATACTTAACATGGAGCGTTGGTCAAATTGCACAGCTGTTGTCACTGGTGCCAGTTCGGGCATTGGCCTCGCCATTGCTAAGGACTTGTTGAAGGCGAATATGCGCGTAGCCGGTTTGGCTAGACGCAAGGAACGCATGGACGAATGGCGTGCAACATTGTCCGCGGATCAGCAAAAGCGTTTTCATCCCGTCAGTTGTGATGTAACCTCACTGGAGTCGGTTAATGAAGCATTCGATTGGGTTATCAAGAATTTGAGCGGTGTCGATGTGTTGATCAATAATGCTGGTATTTACAATGCCGGACAAGCTACCGAAATGGATCCGGCCGCTTTGCAACAAGTATTGCATACAAATGTCATGGGTGTGGTCTATTGTACGCAACGAGCTTTCCGTTCAATGAAAGATCGCAGTGTTGACGGGCATGTAGTGATCATTAATAGTGTCATGGGTCATTATGTGCCACATAGTGAACCACACACGTCGCCAAATTCCAATTTGTATGCGCCAAGTAAATATGCGTTGACCGCTTTAACGGAGGTATATCGTCAGGAGTTCAGAGGACTTGGTACCAGAGCTAAAATCACTGTGAGTATAGAGTGGCATCCAAATATATATGTATTGTATATACACTGCTTTATGTAGGTATTTATATCTATTAATATGACTATCTTGCATATTTATTTCACAGAGTGTCAGTCCCGGCTTAACCGATACCGATATTGTGGCTGCACGCTCGCGTGGCGGCAAAAAACCTATTCTACAACCAGAAGATATTTCCAGCTGTGTATTATTTACACTCTCAACACCAGTTCATATGCAAGTTCATGAGATAACTGTGAAGCCAATGTTAGGCGAATAGAATGCAAATAGATATTAAAGCTGTGCTCAAAGCTATTCGCTCGTATAGACATTAAAATATAAATAATATGTGTATATATAATATTTTTAAAACAAATTAAGGTGGTTCTTGGGCTTCATAGTCCATATATTCTGATTTCTTAATTTATATAGAATATAATTTTGAAATATTTCCCAAGCTTAAATAATAAATTAAATAACTGTAGTATATCAAATATTATATAATATTATACATACAATAAAAACGGTATAAAGCCAACCATAAGTTAAGCATTTTTATACTATTAGATTATTTATGATCATTTTATTAGATAATAATGTTACATCAACAGAAAAGTCTTATCAACTGATAATCAATATATGGAAGTAGTTTTCTGTAATCAAAATGTGACGATGCTATGACTATCATAGATAAGTTTTACAGATAAAGCTTAGAGACCTCGAAATATATGTAGTTTGTAACGGCAAAGTAGGCATCATCTTATGGATTTTCAAAACTAATTTTAATAAAGTTGACATGTTGAATGGGAAAGGTAGAGCCATTTAAACCATGAACAGGGTATATTAAACATGCTACAAAGTTTGTAACACCTAGAAGAATATGTCGGAGACCCTATAAGGTATATGTATATTTATGATCAGCGAGACGAGCTTAGTCGATTCAGTCATGTTAATTTTTCCGTCTGTCTGTACATATACGGGAACTAGCCTCTTAGTTTAGGAGATATCGATCTGAAATTTTGCACATGTCCTTTTCTTCTCAAAAACTACAGCTACCACTACAGCATACAGCTGCAATAAAAACTGGCCGATCAAAATCAAGTGCATGTATGGAAAACAGTTTAATTTGAAGAATTATCATCACGAAATTTAGCATAGATTATTATCCATTACATCAACTAAAAAATTTTGGAATATCATTATCGCCTTTTTGAAATAATATATACAAGTATGTAAACATAACAATAAGAACTTCTATTGACTTGGCGTTTTACTGGGTAGATTTGGTGTAGTACTAAATCTTTGAGACACCAACGAAGATTTCACTCACTTTTATTCCAAACTACCGGCTTTTAATATTTACTCGTACATGAAACACTATTAATTTGACTTCGCTTAATGATTGAATCACCAATTTCCGGTTTTATCTAATAGATTTAGCCCAGTGGCCATTTTTTCTTTGGAAGTTAAGAGCACCACTATTAATTTAAATTTGCCTTTAACACTAGCGCATTGAATTTTAGTTATATCGCTTATCTTTTTGTGCATTAATTATTGTATATATTTTATTAATATGGTAAACACAATTGTATATCAAGCAAATATCAAACAATTTTCGGAAATTATCAGCTGAAGTTGAAATACCGCACAACAAACTTCCTGTCAGTCAAGAGCGAGTTGCCAGATTACACAACCAATGCCTGTGAACTTTTCTATAAAATAATTTAAGACACTTTGGTCTCCCTGTTATACAATATTATTACCCATATTTTCATATATAAATATTTTCAAAATACAAATAATACAAAATTCAAAAGCGCTTTTCAATTTTAAATGACTAATTTAATAAATTATTGTTATTAGCAGCATACCGGGCTATCACTTTTGCTTTTCAAATTGTTCCAGCTGCAACACCTACAACAGTTTGAGCGCCTTTGTAAATATTACTAAACAGCTGTTTCCGCATTCTTTGCTCATCGTCCGGAAGTGAATTTACTGGTTGACTGCACAAATTTGTCTGAATATTTAAATATTAAAATATAGTAAACAAAATATTGAGTATTACATATATTATTGTTTGTGTGTTTAAAATAAACAAATAAGTGCAATTTTATGATCTGTACACAGGCTGTAGCAGCAATTATATATCCAGAGCTTGCTATGTCTAACGACAACTAGGAAGAAACTGTTATGGAAAGAAAGGTAAGAGAATGATATGTAGAAGATGACTTTTTATGAAGACTACTTTTTATTTTTATTTGTATTTCAGAGCATGAAAATCTGAACGCCACAATAATTATCGAGAGCATATGTAAATGCTATTGCAATTCAATGTGTGTGCGCGCAAAGTTGTGGAATGGCGTTAATCACAAAACTATTTGAACTTCTATTACATAAATTTAATGAGGAGCATTGCAAATCCAATTAATAATCGGCAAATGGCCCGGTGACCGACTGCAGCGTGGACATCTGCAGCCTAGGGTTCGATAAAACGCTGCTACAGGCTTCGTTTAGCTGCGGCATTTGTAATTTACATGTTAAGCATCACTTGTACAGTGTCTATTCATTGCAGTTTGCATAAATTAAACATCGTTATGCATTTTTACGGTAATTCTATGCAGTGCAATGCATATTTATGCAGTGATATGAATAGCGAGTAGTTGCGGCAGTAATTAAATTGTACGGCTGGCTAAAATGTATGCAATATTGATTGCGCAATAATTATAGTTGCGATTTTGTGTGTAATTTGAAAGGTTTGTTGCTTTTATTGGTTTATATGGCACGAATATTCATTATACTGTAAATTTTCTAATTAGTCTTATTTTTAAATTACTATATATTTTTTATATAGCGTAAAAAAAAACAAGAATAAAAATATGAAAAGAAAAATAGAACTGTCTAAGCCTTAAACTTATACTTCATTATAAAGAATTACATCATATAATAACAGTACATCACATAATCGCCTTACATAAGCTCATACTGTGAAAGTCCACGTAAGTTTGAAAATATTATTGTTTTTATTGATTTCTTATAATCGTTGGTTGGTGGTAAATTTATATCCTGAATATTTAATATACCCTAAGTTTGCCAGGAGGTTTGTAATAACAAGAAGCAAAAAATATATAGAAAGGATCAGCGTGACGTGCAGCTTCAGCTTGTCCGTCTGTATATACGCGAACTAGTTTCCCAGTTTTTGAGATATCTGCACACGTGTTTTTATTCCCAAGAAGCTGCTTATTTGTCGGCACCGCTAATATCGGACCACTATAGCATATAGCTGTCATACAAACCGACCGATCAAAAGCAAGTGCTTATATGGAAAACTTTTATATTTGACAAGATATCTTCACGAAATTTGGCGTAGATTGTTGCCTAACACTTCGTTACATTATCCAAAGAATCCGATCCATTATAGCATAAAGCGCTAGTAGCAATTATTGTAATTTTCCAATGCACTCATTTGGTTATAGGCAAAGAGCCTGGCCAAGGAAATTGTGTAAGCGCTCCATGTTTTTTTTTTTTTGCACCAACAGAAAAATTCAATCTAACGGCGCCCAACTACTTTCAGCTATGCGAAGCACTAATTAGCATGTAAATTTAAATCCGATCAGCTTTGTGAAAGCTAAGTATGCATGCAAGTTGCGTGGTGGCGCATTAGGGCATCAGCCAAAGCGGGTTATAAAAAATGCCAAAATAACAAAATTAATGCTCATTATTCTTTAACGTATTATTCTTGCAGTGCACGCCCCGTGGCACATATTGTAATTGCAAGCATTAAGCAGACTGCCACATACATGCATGCAAACACACAACGAGTGCAGGGCAAAGCAGCCACAAGGATAACGAAATGCACACAGCCACATATGCAAACATCTACATATATATATGTATATATGAGTATGTGTATGTGTTCGCGCATGTATGCAAGTGTGCGTGCACTCAAGCCAAAGCGAATAATTGCCACAACCAAAGCTGCAGTCAGCGCGTTGCACACAAAGGACGCGTCGAAATGCGGTCGTAAGCGTTGCTGTGAACGCTGCCGCCGATCGCCACCGTTACCGCTACCGCCCTTTTGCTGTCATTTTTTCCATGCCACACATTTTTGCCAGTATCTGTTGGAATTTATACAAACTGCTACGGGTAGCACTTCAGCAACGCCTTTGTATGTGCAGTTGGCATTGCATAGCTTTGCATGGCGTGGCATGGCATGACATATCACGCACGCACGCACACATTCGAACACTTATGCGCTTTTTGTTTTTTTGTGTTTTTCTTAATGTGCAAATACTTACGTAATACGCATAAATGTGTGTGGGCGTAGCTGACATGCTCGCCGCTTTTGTGCGGCAGCTCATCGCTTAAGTGCATTCATTGCATTTTATTTGCTCATTTTTCCTCACTTTGTGTTGCTATGCATTTGATTCCCACGCAATTTCCTACCCACAAATGCATGTGCTGTTGCGGCTTCAGGGCAAACACTTGTATGCGTATACATGTATGTATGTATATGTGTGTGTGTTTGAATATCTAATTTCGTTTGACACGCATCAGCACCATTGTTGGTGTTGCTTTCGTTGTTGCTGGTGGCTGTGGTGTTCTGAAGGTCAGCATTGTGGAATTTAAATTGTGAATTTATAATAAAAAAAAACCACCAAAATTTAAAAATAAAAAAATGTTGAAAGCCATTTGTTAAGCTAACAAAGCATCAAAATCAGCTGCATTCCTTGTGACCTCTGGGTTTATGCTATTAGCTCAATTTTCCAGCACATTACACCAGCGCAGTGGCGCGTAACCCTAAAAACATGTAAAATAAAACGTGAAATAATATTTTCTAAATATTTTTTTAAGCAATAGTTGTTTTCAAATATTTGTATTTTTCCAATTCTGCTCTTACATTGAAAATTTGTATAAAATTTGCACTAAATTTTAAATTTTTCTAGAAAATTTCAAAACAAAAAACTTTCATCAAACCAATACAAACCTTTTAACTTGCTCGGGCTCTACAGTAATCAGCTCGATTTCTTCTCAATCTTCGTGTTAGAAAAAGTTTTTACAATGACAAACGAAGCTTCGAGGTGTCAAATTGGCTTCGTCGAAGATAACAGAATTATCGATCGTGAAGCGCTAAAGAGCATCCGAAATACTTTTTCCTTGCTAGGACCGAAAACTTTTCGTTCTCAGCTCGTATTCTACACTAATCAATTAAAATTCCAAATTGGCTCCTTCGAGTTGGCTGATAACAGAATTATCGTTCTTGAAGCACGACAGATCGTTCAAAATACCATTACCTTAATAGTTAGTTACATTATCGTTCACAGTTGAGAGTCTTCGTTAAACAATGCGATTTTTTTACAATACCTATTTGTGTTAGATAAAGTTTTTACAACGGCAAACGAAGCTTCGAGGTGTCCAATTGGTTTCATTGAAGTGATTGATAACAGAATTATCGATCTTGAAACGTAAAGTATAATTTTTGTAATGAGCTCTGTTGTATGGCTCGAATTACTGCTGCAGCCGAAGATCGTCCAAGGCTTCATTTTCGACATAGAAAATGTCATGATAACAATCAGTTTACACTTTTGGTCCAAATGGTATTTCCAGTAGCATTTTCAATGAAAAAATTCCAAAAATTCGCACTAAATTATCGCTGTATTGACACCTTGAGCATTACGTATGTACTTTTGAATTCCCAGATGCGACAATTTTGCTGCAAACCTAGTTGAAAAGTTGAAAATTTTGGAATTGGACCGAACGTATCCATTATGGATATTATACTGGTAAAAAGAAGACATGTGGCTTCTCCGACCCTTTAAGAAGATTGAATCATTTAGTTGAGTATTACCTAGTCGTCTTTCAAAGATGTTTAGAATTGAGCATTGATTTCCGAATGTCATCTAATTTATTGGTCTTACTAGTAACGCAAGAAACGACTGACACACTTAACTTGGTTCGCTCCGAACAATTTGAAGGTATGCGGCTTAGGTATATAGCATCACCATAGGGAACGAACAGGACCAAAGTTTTTGCTTCCAAACTATATACGAGAGAGTTTTGAAAAGAAAGACGGTAACGGTACCATCAGTTTAGGTAAATTTTGAGTTTTTGAGAAAAACAAATTCATACGGACATATCAATATGAACTTGATTTTTAGTGATTTTGAGACGCAAATATAGGAATGATACTCTGTATAAGCTTTTGTGATAACATTGTAGCTCTCAAAAAAATGAAAACGTTAACGGTTGTCGGGTGTTGGTGAAAAATAGTCCAACCTTGTTTTGAGAATATCATTGGGAGAAGGACTTGGCTTCTTTTCTATTTTAAAGTGGCGTTAATTTGTGATACGAAAATACGACTGGAGGTCCAAAATGATTTGTGTCGTTACGGAACCAAAAAGAAATAGACCGGACAGTTTGAGGGCCGTAGGTCAAGATTGTCTCTGTCGAAAGACTTACATACTTCTTGAAGTCTCAAGTGCCTTATCTCTATCTATGGTAAGCGCTTATTTCCTTAAGTCTTTTCTGCCTTCTAATAGTCCTAAAACTGCATTTCCACTTTGGTAAATCTTTTATTTCTTAATAGA